GTGCTGTTGTTGGCGGTTGTTGGCGCACCAGGTCGCCGCGGATGATGACGTCGTGCTGGATCACCGATTTGCCGGCTAGGATTATGTGCTGTGTTGCGTGCAGTTGGGCACGGCGCGAGATCTTGTTGCCGTTGTCCTGTCAAGGGGGGGGGATGGTTAGTGGAGAGGTTTGGAGAGTAGAGGTCGGAGAGAGCTTACCGTCTCAATGTACTCGCCGGTACGCGCTGATTTGGGCGGCATGACAAGTGAGGTGTGGTAGTCTTGCTATCTCGTAGGCATAGAATGATGGGTGAGCATGTCGGTGTCGGTGTCGGTGTCGGTGTCGAGGTCAATGTCGAGGTTATGGTATTCCAGACGCGGTGGCTCAAAGCGGAAAGTAGGGCAGGTTGGTAGGGCATGACGTATATTTGTTTTGCTTTGTTGATCAGACAAAATTCCTCCGCCTGACAACTCCCCCGGACAAGCTCTCTGGGAGGATAACGTGCTGAATGGGAATGCGACAGACTGTATTAGACGACACGCATAGAATTCTATTTGGTCAGGTTCTTCTACAGCATAAGCTTGATTCTAAGCTCACCATTCGAGGTGCTACATCTAGAAGCTGGCCCTGTTGCCTTGGCTCCCGTTGACAGACTTCCGATGGATACAGACACACTGCGATGAGTCGCTCCAAGAAGCCAAAAGTTGTCCACGAACTATATCGAGTGGTCATCACAGATGGTGTTTTGGCCAATTGGAAGGCGCGAATGTTGGCTCAAGCCTGTAGCAGCTTTGTGCCAGCTATCTGTGAACACTTTCACCTTCAATTCGAAGAGTCATTCCCCCATATTCTATCATTCGGTGGCCTTTCACCCTCTGTTGCCTCTTCTTCAGCACCGTGCTCGAATTCTTTCCAAGATGAATGTCAAACTTGAACTGCTGCTCACCCGCACTGTCAGCATCGACGTGGTAGACAGCGACATCGACGATCCTACTCACCTCGCACAGCAATTACAGGGCCAAGATCAAGAAAAAGTCCAATCCATGAAGGTTGTGGAAGTGAATGGTCGACAAGTTGGCACCTCACTGAACCCGGGAAGCGCACTCGAAGTCGGCAGAGACCAGAAGATCATCAAATTCCATCGGCTGATTCCAGCATTGCTCCAGAAGCTTCGCAGACGTCCGGATCGTAAGTCATCTCCAAGCTCTCATTCGGGTTAAGCATACGATAGCTAAGAGATGGCACCTGGAACAGAACAAGCACCAACCTAATGTAAGAGACATCTTGGATATAAGTCAGAATGCTAACTTCGGATGAGCATGGCACAGATATGATGACCCACCTCTCTGAGAGCAGTTTTCAAGAAAGAGCACGCCAGAACACGGAGAAGGCGAAGGCCGGGCATCGCAGTGTTGGTCACAGATATTAAATATGCGATGTGCTGGGGGCTGGGGGCTGGAGGCTGGGTGCTGGAGTTGTTTCAATCACATGGGGGGGGAGGTTGATGAGAGGAGCTGGCCGTGGGCAGCCAGCCAGGTCCGCCGCATCACTTCTGCTCCAGCAGTCCCGCAGCTTCACAATATGTCCTTGATGTCTCTACCATCAAGCCAAAGGCAAGCATTTGCGGACAGTCACGTTGACCGTTGGTGGCCTGCTTAGATTGAATGAGTCCGGGATGGGGCCAGACGTAGAAAGGAATTCAGTCACACACGCCACGCCAAGCCTCTTTTTCTTGCCTTTCATAACAATAGAATAATAGAATAAACAAGGCCAACCCCGACTCAAGTGTACCAACTGTATTGCTGCCACTGAACACTCTTTTACATTCTCAGGCATGGTTGGTAGCATCTAGATCTAGATCACGAGGCCGCTCCGAGATTGGATACATGGTTGACCAGTCTCGATGGTTACCGCAACGACTTTTTCTTATCGCTTTCGCCTACGTATAATTATTTGGTCGTCATCGATAAGCCTTCTCAACATACAGGCCTTGGTTGGTACCATAGACAGCTGGAGCGTCTGTTCTGGATTCTAGCCACAACCCTTCACCATGCCCAAAATCAAGATGGCGCTGGTGGTGGAGTTTGATGCAGACCAATCAGACCACAACACCATCCATCTTGCGCTTGATCAGATCCTGCATCTTCAACCAGCATGCAGCATTGTTTCTAAGAATATTATTGAGATTGACGGTACCCCCACTGTTGGGGCAGATGGTCTGTCCTCAGCCGAGACTATTGCAAGATATTCCAGATCATCTGCAACCGTTGGGCCTCGGGATGGCGTCCAAGGCGATAGCTACCGGCCGGACTACTCAGAGCGGAGCAGAGACCAGCTACTCGACAGCTACAGACCAGGTACATTGGATGGTCATGGCGCATCCTCTCGAGGGATCGATAGCTACAGACCTAATGGTAAAGTCTCCTCCGATCCCGCTGCCATTCACCCAGACAGACAAAAAATCATGACTCGATCCGACGAGACAATTGACTTTACAAACGAAGGTGGAGGGCTGTCATCTTCCGCAGTCCTGGGCACCCGCTACGACGCCCTTGTCGAAGACATAGTCTTCACTCCCAACTCCCAACCTACGACGAACAACAACAGCAGCTACAAAGATACCCGCACTCGCCGCAGCAGCTCACACTACTCCCCTCCACCCGCACGTGACCGATCCGCTTCACCGCAGAACGGATGGCGTCGAAGCGAACGTCTTCGAACCGCTCCGTCACGAAACAGGTCTGAGCACGAGACGTCGCACAAAACCAAACTCGAAAGATGGAAACAGCGTCGAGACGAAGAGATGAAGCGCCTCGAGGCCGCGCGCGGGTCGTTAGAATTCCTAGCGCCTCTCTTTTCGGACAAGGGGAGGTTTGAGAGACAGCGGGAAAGTGAGTTGAACCCCGCTTAACATCTCTTCTTCTTGTAATGAATGGGTGCATTGTCTGGTCTCCTTGCACTGTGTTAAATCATTGAATAAGTCTACCCATCTAGCCGGCCCAAGTGACGGAGCTAGGATGACTGCATATTTACTTACTCCATTTTGGTAGTACACGGCATCACGGAAGCCCTGCGCCTCAAGAACCTGCGTACCAACCACAAGATCGAGAAAGCGAAACGCCAGCTCGATAAGCGGCGATGGGGTGGTGCTGGAGAGAAGGCGGGAGGAGGAGAAGAAGTCAAGCAAGGTGCTAGGATGGATGCCGTGATCGAGCGTACGTATTATCCATCTATTCACATCTACCCCTTTCCCCATCCGTTGGTTTGCTGACTACCAGTCTGTGTTGCGCGTGGGTGTAGAGATCGCATCCTTTGATTTCAGCGCACCATCCAGCGGCATCGCAAATGGTGATGGCTCAGCACATTCAGCAACCCATCCGCCGGTCGAGACGAGGAAGAAAAAGGGAGCAGGGGCGAGGAAGCGCGGCAGAGGAAAGTCGGTGGCGATGCGAGAAAAAGAATCAGCGGTCCTGAAGCGTGATAACGACGATGAGATGCACGATGTGCATCCCCATCCACCACCGCAGACGCAGACGCAGACACAAGCGCAGCAGCTGTGGGAGCAGCAGATGAAATCCCAAGCTTCCAGCACCAGCATGGCAGACATGGCGGTTGATGACGGGGCGGAGTGTGTGAACGTGCTGGGTGGCAGCAGCAGCAGCAGCGGCGCCGCCACGAATGCAATACCTGCCACGGCTGATGCTGGTGCCTTGGATGAGGAGGGCGTGGCGTGACGTGACGTGAAGCCGACTCACCCACCAACGCACGCAGAGCCTTTACAAACGAAGAAGATCCACCACCTTCATATTCATACCGATACCCCCATCCCCATCTCTGCTGCAGCGCTACCTAGCCACCCAGCCACCCAGCTACCCAGCTCCCTGTCTAACTAGATTAGATAAGATAGATAGATACGCCTGCTGGACCTCCTTCTCCTTCTCCTTCTCCTTCTTTTCAAGACCCTGTAACCCCCATCTCTCCCCCTTCTCCCAAGGCGCTGCTCAGCATGACTAACTATTTACTACTTCCGTCCTTGTCCTTGTCCTTGTACTGGCACTGGCACTGGCACTGGTACTCATACTTGTACTGGCGAAGAACAGGTTCAAAGAAACCAGTCAACCAACTCGCGCATGTAGGAATTCTACCGGGAAAAAAAAGGGAAAGGGAAAAGGAAAAGGAAGGGCTGCGCTCGTCGACCTACCTACGTAGCTACTGACTGACTGACTGACTGACCGACTGACTGCCAGCTCTCTCTCAGCGCGGTTGTGGTTGCACAATGGAATGGAAGGGCTCTGAGTACATCTCGCCTCGTCTCGTCTCGTCTCGTCTCGTCTGGTTTTCTATTCGGAGACCGGGCTGGGAGGGAGAGGGGGGGTTCAGGCCAATCTGTAATCTAAGCCAGCCAGAGCATGAGCGGGAGCGGAGCGAATGCAGCATGAATGCAAGACGGTCAGGAGTGAAAGAGCGGTGTAAATCATCGCTCTGGCTCCCAACTAACCAAGCTAGCGCCGTCAAGGAAGAAAGGGGCCCTCTGATAAAACCTGTGGATGCGCTCTATGAAGGCGAGAAAAATATATGCTGGTGGCATTGGTACCCCTCCAACACTTCCAGTTCGCTGGAAGAATAAAAAGGCGCGTCCTCATCCCCGTCTCCCACTCCAGAGTCTCCAGTATCCTCAAAGCGCTAACCCGTTCGCATTCGCCGCGTCTCTCTTCTCCACCACACTGGGCACCTTCTTCATCTTTTCCTCATCCGCTTCCTCGCCCACAACCGCCTCACCCACCTCCAACGCGTCATACAGATCCACGATCCTCCGTGCCACACCTTCGCCGCTCCAGTACGCCCCCGTCGTAGTCCCCAGCGCGATGAAAGGCGCCGTGTGCTCGCCCGCCAACCACAGCCGCCTTTCCTCCCCTACACCTTCCCTCATCACCTCGATATCCTTGTCCCCATTCTCGAGGCCGACTTGGATGTTGGTGTAGGCGCCATTTCCGGCGAAGGGGTCGAGCTGCCATTTCGTTGCTAAGAAGGCGGAGGGGGTGCAGGAGGCGGAGTGGACGTCGTAGTTGGGGAGACGCGAGTAGAATGGTTCGAAGAACGTTCTTAGAGTTTGGTGGTATGGGGAGGAAGGGGACGTAGACACGGGCATGTCTTGGATGAGGTTGACGAGGTGGGTGCCGCAGGCGCCGTAAAGGTAGAAGAGGAGGGTGGGGTGGGAAGTAGTGTCGGGAAGGGCGGCGAGGTTGACGAGGACTTGGTTCCAGGGAATGTCAGGTGGGTGGGGAGCGTAGTCGGGGCTGGAGAAGTGAGTGAACGAGGGGTAGGTCGATGGACCGGATTTGGCAGAGGAGGCGGATGAGGAGCTTAGATTGCTATTGGGTGAATCTTCTGAGTGCGAGGCCGCAGTGGATGTGTCTTGCTGCCAAAAGGCCATGGGAAAGGTGACGTAGACCTTTTCTAATCGGCTGTAGCTGATGTTGTCGATGGCTTGCAGTAGACGAGAAGGAAGAGGGGAGTCAGGTGGAAAGGCATCATATTTGTGACGTTTGAGCCAACCGAGAGGCGCGGTGAGGACAACTTCATCGTACGTATGTTGTGTGCCACTTCGTGTTTGTAGGGTGACCGTTGCTGGAAAGGTGGATTGCGGATCATGATGGGCATGGAAGAAGACAACCTCGTCATTCAAGCGTATATCAGCATCTGCTAGGGCGGTGGCGGCAATCTCTGCAAGTATCTTCTTATATGTGCCTGCGACAAAAGCATTTTCTGAAATAGAGTTAATCACAGACGCTGGCTTACAGGACGCCTACTCACCACCATCAATGCATTCTTCGAGGAAGAAGAACTTCAGACTCTGCCTTTCGATCGGATCGCCGACATAGCCACCCCACATCTGGGCTTGCTGAAGAACAAGGGCTTGCATCGAGGCATCATCCGTGACTTCTTTGACTTGGTCCTGGAAATAGTCCATCAAGCTTTGGCATTTGTCGATCTCCGCAGAATGCTCGTCGCTGTATCTGAGGGCCTTGGCGATGATGCCCCAGACCGCCTCGGAGAGCTCTGATGCTACGCGATTGTCCATACGGTTCCCTCTGGAGTCGATGATCGCTTCACTGTCTTCTAGAAAATAGGTGGTCGTATTCGTTCGCTCTGCAATGTCGGCAATCGGATTACTTTGACTTCCATGGATCCAATTTGCCCCACTGCTTGAGTCAGCATATGTTTTCCAAACGCTTCCTATTAACATACATATCCATCAGATGACCCCCTGATTCAACCTGATGTACCTAAATTGTATAAGCTCTTTGATCTTGTGAGAGATTACCTCTTCTTATACCCGACCACCTATCCTGTCCCGCGCTTCATAAATTGTGACTCGAGCACCGCTCCTGATGAGCACATCGGCGCATCTCAACCCTGATATCCCGGCGCCGATGATTGCTATATTGGGAATCTTCCCTCTCGGTCGTATCGCTTGTTGCATCTCGTTGGGATTCTTGTTTAGAGCGGACGAAGAACGATGGCTGCTCCTATCGAGATCATTGTAGACTCGAGACATGAATCGGCGACTCTGTTCACTACTATTAGCATGGTCAGGCATGATGTGACCATTCATGACTAAAGAATCAAAATGTATAAGCAGGTGATACAATATCATGCTCGAAATGGCGAATATAGTTCATAAAAGGTACGGATAGGCTTCTCAACCGCCTGGGTCTGGCGATCATACACCAAGGAAATGGTCTTGAGTTGGCGCAAGGACAAAATGACAACCATTCAGCTCAGCGAGACTCAAAAGATGAAGTCATTATCTGACACAGTGACTAACGCCATTGTTCATATCCCTTCGTGTTGATGAACAGGCAGGCTGATCATAATTTGAGACAGATGACATATTGAATAAAGACACCCGACGTTGGACAGAAGATACCGTTGTGGATCTGGCATATCTTACCCACCATTTTTGTTCTCCCAATGATAGAAAAGGGCGTAGGTAAGACCCACAGGTAGCAGAATATGTAACCATTTCAGCAGGAAAAGAGCATACTTGCACGCATACTATGAGATGCGTGCTTCACCTACCCTTGCTTCGCCACGATAAAGAGTAGACTCGTCTAGGTGAGAAGAAATGCACTGATGTAGGTGTTGTAGACACAAGGAGGATTGAGTGGTCTGAGTCAGTAGCTAAAGGGAAGAGACGTAATGAGATTAAGTTAGAAGACTGCCTGTCTGCCTCTCTGTCCGTCTGTCCGTCTACCTACCATGCTGGTCTCTAGTGATGTCCGTTTGAGTCATCAGATTTCAAGATCTTCTCATTCGGCCTGTGCTGACCAAATGTCCTGGAAGGCAAGTCATCCTTGTTCTACTTAGTACTGACTAGCACCGCCCTTTATTCCCGCCATCTGCTCTACGTAGTTAGTATGCACTACGTAGTACATGCAGAGTCGGTTACACTAATATTAAAGCACCACTAGCACAGGCCACCAAGCTCTAACTAGTGTTAGCAGAAATCATAGCTAGTACGATGGGGCCCCAAGGCCCCTAGACTGTCTAGCAACAGCCCCTCATCCGGACTGCTTCTGAGGCCGCTTCCGCCCTTCATTAAGCTGTCTAGGCTTCAACTCAATCTTACAGTTAGCTAAGCTTTTGCCAGTTGCGTCCTTACTGCGTATATCAACCTTTTGTTTCATACCGACCAAACATCATACTAGCACCAGAAGAGCTAGTTGCATCCACTACGTAATCCCAGCTGGCGTAAATTGAAGTGGTGATGCACGACTCTGTACACCCTCTGTACTCCGTACGTACGATGTAGTACTTGAGTAGTTTCTATCCAACCTCACCACTCACCACGTTCACATCATAATCTATCATGTATGAGTCTCATCAGCACCAACTCTATGATAAGTCTCCTTCGAGCGATTCAGGATGGTGGTCCACATCCCGAAGATAATAGGTGATACGTACAGAATGCTCACTCACTTTGAAACTCGTTTCAAACACCTCGAAAATCTCCACAGTGATGGCCCAACTACAAACATCGTCAACCCTAGGAAATGCTCACATGCACATGGCAATCTTGCTACAAGCTTCTAGGTGCGGCGTCAACCGTTTGACGCTCCCTGCTCTAAGTCTAGTGATAGATCTCACCGGCAGGAAGCCAGCAGAAGTCTTAACGAGGGTCTTGATGAAGCATTATTCCACCGCTGCCATACCTTTTCTGCCCATTTAGTACTCGTTCCTGCAAACAGAAAGAGAGCAACACCGCTTGGGCTGTTGCGGGTCAATATTGACCCTCTTCCAGGATAAAAACGCCCTGGATAACAGCTAATCCCTTAGCACAGATGGGCAACAGCTTCGCTCGCTGTTTTAACAGTAATATGACCGACCGAGCAGAGCGCAGAGCTCCTCAGCCATCACGTCAACGAGTCGGCAGACAGTTTCAGCAAGCAAACTCAGCAGACAGCGCAGTGACATCACTCTCCCGTCCAGAAGCATGGATGATACCCTACCAAGACCAACAAATAAATCCACCGGCCCAAAAAAGAATTGACAGCTTCGCCCTTCAACGCGAAACCATCCAACAAGCCCTCCATCTGATGGCTAGCTATCTCGCCAGCCAAGGCCAGAATATAACAATCATCACTGTCGGCGGCTCAATCAGTGGCCTACTATTAAAAGACCAACTGACACGCAAAAACCTCGATTACCTTGCCACCGACGTAAGCGAAGAGCAACGCAAGATACTCGCAGCCGCAGCCAAATACGCCCGACTGAAATGCAGCCAACCAATACGCGGAGCATGGTTCAGCACCCGTGGCGACGATACCCTCAAGCTCCCCTTCAGCGTCCATAAACGGGTCGTGCTGAGAAGCATCTCCCAAAATGAAATCATCTTCCAAGCACACGGTCTGAAGATTCTCGCTGCGCCCTGGGATTACGCCTTTGTCGCCACTCTGGGTAGGTTGGCCAGTGACCGGTCGCTTGCGCGGCCACATGACCTAGCAGACGCAATTGCCTATCTCCATCGCTATATTGAGGGGTGGTGGGATGGGCCTTTAACTATGAGTCAGGTCGAGTTCTGGGCAAGGTCATACGGCATCCGCGGGGTTGAGACAATGGCCAGGTTCATAGCCACGCGGTATCGAGCTGTGTATGGTCGTGATGGGATTGTGGATTCCCCCCCGACAGGTAGCGCGCATGTCCCTCTAAGGATGCAGATGGCTCCCATCGTCTATACTTAGTCGGCTATAAAGCCGTTGGAGGTGCCGGACAGAAGTTTCCCATCGCTCTGACGGCATAAAATGTTGGTGTCAGTATCTTTGGGATGGAAACAGACTTACCAATACAGGGACACAATGCCCCATTGGATGATTTTGCCTTTGGTCGTTTTCTTTCTCAACTTACACCATAAGTGAGACGAGCACAACGATGGCAAGACAATCTCTCCTCTGCTACCTTGCCAGCTGGACGCTCGCTCCCCTTGCCATCTCTCACGCCTGAGTCCTATTCGGTTCCTTGAACACCACTCCTGCGAGCCTGATATTGCGCCACCAGATCTAGCTAGATGACCAACCCAACTGAACACCCATCCCCACCCATCGACCCTCGGAAAGAATCACAGCCAAAACCAAGGCTGCTAGCACCCACAACGAGCGTCCGTTCCTACCTGGGAGGCAAGACAACATGCCAACCTTCCATCTGGTCGGGTTGTCCAAATATTCAACGCCAGACCAACCTCTCAACAACTCCAGTGAAGGCAATGCAAGGCAGGGCAAGTCTCACACAACCGAACCGTAAACACCAATATCATCAACAACATCTGCACCGCATCATCTCTGGCCAGCTCCCCCGCACCACCTCCTCAGCACCAAACCAACCGGCCAGCAAGAACCCAAACCCTGCCCCCCTCCCCAACGATCTGCAACAAGTAGATCCAGATCCAGATCCAGATCCAGATCCAGAACCACCCCAAGATCCCAAGATATCCAACTCCCCCATCCCTCCATCCCCTCCTCAACCACCACCATAAATCCACCACTCTCCTCTACCCTCCTCTCCTCTCATAACATCCAAGCATCCACACCACCTGCCAGGAGCCACCGGTATCAAACCACGACTCGGACTCCGACCCATCGGACCTTCGACCAACAAACTATTTAGTAGTTCCCGGAACCCGCCGCAGGCCCCATCCCCCAAAACCCCCCAAAAAAGGACGAAAGAAGGTAAGAAAGAAGAGACTCATCCGCCAGCGAGAGGGTGTAGATTCCTACCGTGATGATGGATCGAGTGCACATCTTATTTCGGTGTTGGTTTCAGGGAGCTGGAGAAGGGGGGGATGGGGGAAACGGAAATCCAAGTGGTGGTGGGCAGTAGCCATACTACTACTAACTTACTAATGATATTGATATCTATCACTAAGTTACCAAGCATGCTATTTCCTAATTTAGGAACGGCTGAGAGTCCCCGTGTCGTGTCTGTCTCGGACGATGGTTTGCCATTCAACCAGCCTGCTCCCGGGTCAGGGAACGGCAAAGGAGGGAATCACAATGCCTAGCTAGCCCAAGCGAGTTCAACATGCTTTCCTGCCTTGATTCCCTTGTCTCGTTTCCTGGGTGTAGCAACAATCATCCATGTAAATAAAGCATGAGCCGGATTTGCCGGCCAACCACACTCTTCCTCCAGTGCGGCCTGCTTGGGGGAACCCAGGGCATGGCTGGAACATCCCATCCCCTCCCCTCCCAAACGCCGTAAGATGCTGTGCTGTGCTGTGCTGTATGGTACTGTACTGTATCGCACTGTGCTGAGCTGAGCTGAGCTGAGCACATGCAGAAGGCCTGCATTTCGAAAAAAATCATAAGCCCCAATTCCCTCTCGTCCTGTGATCCCATCACTCCTCTATGACCTCCAAAGAAAAATCACCTCGTCTCTCCGCTCCACAGACAGACCACCTCTTCCGTTTCTCCTTGCCACCGAACCGCATTTCCAGCGAACTTTTCCTCCGGGCATCTCGTCCGTCGGATTCCTCGCCCTCGCCTCCTCCTGCTGCGGCGCGGTTCTTCAGGTACTCTTCCTCCTCGACCCTTGCCGCTTCTTCCGCATCGGGGGTGTCGGGTATGGTTTCGAGGGAGCTGATGGAGGGTGAGCGAGAGCGAAACGACGTGGGTGTGCTGGGCATCGACGAGCCAGAGCCAAAGGAGAAGGCGTGGTGTAGAGGGTAGGGCTCGTTTGCATATCGTTGCGCGTTGAGTAAAGGTGAGCTGCCTCCCGAGATAGGGCTGGCTGTGGCCTTGGGCAGGTTGGGGGTCGAGGACGAGTGGTAGAGCGGACTTGATGACGTTCGTCTGGAGCGGGGGATGGTGTTGTATGCTGATGGAAGTGATGTGTGGCCAAGCTCTCCCTCAGGTGTGGTGGTATGAGCTAGGTTGGTGCTGGCTGATATGTCAAGCTCTGCATGCTCGGGAATATTGGGTTCGATGTAGAGCCCGTTCCATGTAGGACCGCTGGGATATGATTCCTCCATTGCTGATCTTAATGGACTACGTCTGCGACCAGAATGTCCAAGAGGAGATGCAGGTCGGTGCGGACCAGTTGCAGGTGGTATGATGAAGCGACCAGTCGAGTCTACCCCAGGGCTGCTGTGGGCTCGTTGCATGGGAGGTAGCGTGAGAGTGCTGGCAGTGGAGTGAGACCGCAGATGGCCGCGAGACATTGGAGATCGGTTGCGAGGTTTTGGTGTTAGCGGATTCGATAAGTTTACAGTTGTGATGGCGGACAGATCGGGCGATGAGACTGAGTGTGGTGTCTCTGGCCGTGATGGTAAGGCTAAAAATGGAGAGGCTGGAGGAGGAATGCAGTTGTTGTTGTTGAGCTCGAGAGGAGGAGAAGGAGGTAGCTCTATCTCTTCGGGACCCTTCATTCTGGCTTCTGGTGCCATCATGCAACAATGCTGATGGCGCTGCCGAAAGTTTGGGATCTTTGTGAAAGTAAGTTGTACCAACGAGTCATAACTCTTGAAACAGATTCAAGGCGTAACAAATCTTATTCTAAGGTGATTTGGAAGCAATCGTAGGCGTGCGTCCATCCACGTGCCGGGCGATGGGTTGTTTGTGAGTCTGGTGATGGAACATTCCGTCCGTCAAAACAGTTCGGCTTCCAGCCCCATGCCAGTCAAGCTGCAGAATGCAGTGGCCAAGCTATCACCGAGCTCGGAGCTTGTTCTGTGCTGTTTGCTTACCGAACGCGGAGGATTCCGGGGTGTATGAGCTCGATTTGAAACGGGAAAGAGTAGTATCTAGGGTTTCGATGGAGTCACAGCGATAGCAATGCTAGCGAGATGGGGGACTGGCCAGGGGTCCAAAGCTTTTAGTTAAGGGTGGGGAGGCTCCGCTTCGGCGACACCAGGCCTAGCCTCAACTTGTGGGGCTCCTGAGGTAGGGGGAAGCTCAGAGTGCAGAATTCAGGTGCCTAACAAGCCTCCTCAAGGCACCTCACGCATTTCTGAAGCTGCTGCTCCTTCATCCTTCCACAATACCGCGTGGGCTGTGATTTATTTATATCTATTTGATGAACTATAGTCAGACGCAAGTAGAGTGATTTCTAAGCTACAGGTCATCTGCGCTTCATGGAGGGTGTGATCAATGCGTGCGCCCTTCTTCTGTTAGGTCCAGCAGGCCATTTAGCTATGGATAGAGTCACCAAGCATAGCATATGTAAGAAGCATGTGCTCATACCCTACCACTATCGAATGTAGCACCGCATGGGCAGAACTCAATCTCAATCTCATCCCCTACTTAGACTCCTTGATGCGGGCATTGTCCGCGCATGCAGATGGGCCGATTTGATTTGCTTTTCCGTGACACAAATACTTGAACTGTCTAAAAAGGGGTAATTTGAGGGCTGATGATCGAGACTACTACTGTCACAGTCCAACTTCAAGCTGCATTTCAAGGGGAGGCCTGTCCAAACATGTTTCTTGCATTGCATGATCGGCACCACTGGCCACGTTGCTTACATTGCTGCCAGGTACAGTACTTGTTTTACATTCGGAGATCCCAAACCATCATTGGTGCACATCAGCTGTTCCAGTAGTTGTGAACAGAATCGTAGTCATGTAAGTTAAAGCCCACAATAGCCTGCATGTTCCAGCATAACAGGTAAGTCGCTAGGTAACGCCGTTACCCTCCTTAACGATTTGTTTCTCACCGAAGGCCTGAAGCTCCGTCTTAAGTCTGCTTTTGTTGGCACCAGCAACCGCAAGAATCACGCAGCGTGCCACTTCGTACTTAGCAGAGCCGGCTGTCCTTCATTGCCTAGGAGAGACAACTGTCATTCATCCAAAAAAAAGTCAGCTGTTAATGATGAATGAAAATGCAGCATCCTCGGAAAGACCTTGGCGGATGACCTGACATATTGAAATAACTTAAAGCGCGCTGGAGGAGGCCTGCACTATCAAGCCTGCACTTTCATTCGCGTCCTATGTTGTTGCCTGACAGTAGAGCTCTACCTTGCCAGATTGATGTGAACCGCATACCTGAATAATGGATTGAGGCTTCGTCCCGTGGTCGAAATGCTTGCCCGAGCAGTCAAAGATGCTGGGAGGCCGGGTAGCCAACGCTTTGGCTTCTTGAAGAATTTATCTTTCTTCGAGCTTGCGACCTCCAGAAGTGTCGTAACGCCACCTAGGATCACTGATGAAATCGTCAATGTCCAAAACTATTGTTATTCTCTTCGGTGGGCTGACTCCGCCTCCACAACCCATCTCCCTGGTGAACCATCTTGCTGCCTAAAATTGCATCCAGGCTCTCTATCAACCCATCTTTAATGCCTTCCATCGAGACATCTTCGACTTGAAATTCCTGCAAGGAATACTCAACGGAAAGCAAGCGTACTGTGTGACCAACCAGCCCATATGAAGTATTAAACTCCATCCATGCATCAACAAGGTCAATGTGACCCTTCGTTTCCACCAGCTCATCGTCAATGACACTGCTACTGGGATCTGGACAAAGTCTAAAACGAAGATGCTTCAGATTCAACATTTTGCGGATGTTCTTGAGAACATGATCCACGTGATTGTAAAAGGGAAATATCGCCGTATAAGTGAACTTCTCTAGCTTGCTAAGCATGAACGTCAGTCCTGGAGATGGACACAGCAGCATTGCGCTCATCAGAGAAGGCGTCCGACGGAGAAAATATTCGTATTGCGAATATACCTTCAAGCTGGAACCTTCATTGATGGAAAACTCAGTCCATGGTCGAGCAGAAAATAGATCATGGTCGTCATTGAAGGATGTCTGTCGAATAGCAGCTAGTCTCGACTGTCGAAACCGAATGACATGGTAGGGCATGTTGAAAGCCCAACTGTCCACATCGACAATGCTAGTCGAAGCAAACTCTGCAAACACATATGGAGGACAGATGATGGTGAAAGTCAGAGCGGGAATCGTGTTGAGAAGTCGTGCCCACCAGAGTGGATGCAAGATTAGTCGACATGGCTCCGTCATATAAGCTACAATGCTTTTGACATGTGCAGCCAACCCATGTTGATCGACAAAATCCAGAAAAGCTGGAGATTGATTCGGATCGAGACAAACATGGGCGAACAGGCGCTTCAAAGTCAAGGCCCGGATACATTTTGATGCTAACGAAAGGTTCTTCAGATCCGTCTTCGTCGATTTGATAATAGTTAGGTCTGGTCTTTGATGCCAATTCAGTTCAGATGGACATTGGTGGTGTAAGTACTCGAGAACATGGTCGAAGAGCTCATTGGGCAGATCATCTAACGCAAAGGCTCCCCATAAAGGTCTAAAGCGGGCTTTTAATCCTTCATCGGTTGCTGTATCCCTTGGTAGTAAGGATAGTGGATGGTCTCTGGAGGTGCTTTCAACCTTGATCTGCGTCCTGCTTGTGCTTGGGCTGGAGCAATCTGGTTGGGTTATCATGATAACTGCTGCTTATCGAAAACATTGCCCCCAGAATGATGGGACACAACAGTGGCAGATATACCTTGGTCCAAGAAAACATGTCTTGGAAGCCTGAGTCGAAGGCCCCCATGTTTCAGTCTGGATCACTATTACTAGCGAATAATGTTCCTGACTGTGGCTTAGGATTTGAGACAAACAAGGCTCGCTTCGGCTCATCTTCGGCTTTTGGGGCAAAATCGAAGTCTTGGCAGTGGGGAAGTCAAATCTAGGAGAGGGGTAGTTGGCCATTTCATTTTGTTATGGCAATGCTTCAACCATCATCTGGCGAGCCGTGATATCGAAGTGAGGATCTCTAGTCTGACACGATCATATCACACTCGTCCTGGTGTCTTTCTCTCGCGGTGAACAGACGTCCGAGAAACGGGAATTACACACCACCATAAATAGAACGTGGCATAGGCTCATCCACTATGGCTGAAGCTGCACAGGATCAATCCATCCAGGGCAGAATATCGCGCGCACTCCCCTCCACACCGAAAAGCTCTTATAGAAGCGCGTCACCGCCGACTAGAGCTGTGCGCAAGCGTCAACCACACACCAATTGAGAACTCGGACTCGGACCCGAAGAAGATTGTAGACATGCAGCTGACAAGTAGGGGATGTTGTTGTGTTAACGGTTCAAAGGACAATGTAAGTTTAAGTAGTAGGCGTTGAAGGGGCGGGCGTGGGTTCTCGGTGGAGGTTCACGCAGGATACTAGTAGTTGTAGGCATGAAGTTAAGTGATGGATTTCGGGTTGGCAAGTTGAAGTTGGATTGGCTGGTCGCAAGGAGATACGGATTGGCAAAACCAGAGGGGCAGGGGATGTCAGTTCTGCTGAATATGTTGTACATCTTGAACAACATTCATTCGACTGGAGTCAACAGTCTTCATACGCAGGCTAATCTCGAAGTGGAAATAACTCCTGTCATGGTAATTGACTTTCCGGCTTTGACAAACCAGCAATATACCCCATCTGTAAGTCAGTACCATAACTAGCTTCTATCGAGGGAAAAGAGATCGAATCTTCAAAAGCAGTCTTCTCCACTTCCTTGGAAGAGTAGACGATCAGCTTCAGCGATCTCTCCTTCTGCCGACGACGTAGGGCATACACCCTACATACGCAGCGTTTTGGAGAATCCACAGTTCGAGGGGACTGCTACCACTTGCCGGCCCTGGCCAGATATTGCACATGACACAAGGCGACAATCTCCACGCTTCTCCAAGTAGTGGCTCTTGCCATTATTGAGGAATGCCAGTCCGTGGGTAAATAAGTGCGTCCTCCGGGGCTTGCTAAGCATATTTCTAAAAGTTGACCGTTGTACGACTTCTGATCGCAGATTGATTGTCGAGGTCGTAGCCGATTCCTGCTTCTTTGAGTGAGATTAGACCAGAATCCGCCAGCTTGTAACGGGATGGCCATAAGTAATAAGTTACATAGAACTGGTCTTCAATTGCCGCAGCGGTGCTGCTAGAAGCGCACCACGAGGTCCAGTATTATCCAGGGCCGATTCTCGGCATATCATGGTGTTCGCTCAGACCAGAAAGATAACGGTTCAGTTCCTCGACGCGTTGTTTGTGTGTCTTGACACCCTCACGTTTGAGACGATCATCAAGCTGTGAAACCAATCCTTTGTCAGCACCACAGCCCTGGATTTTTAGAAGCGGGATGCTCATGGTAGAAGAGGATGCGCGAGACCAGCTTTGTGGAGGTACACAGGGATAGATAGCGACAGACATACCCTCTTTCGCCTCTGCTCATCATACTTCCTCTCCGCTTCCGTCTTGACCCTAACACCCAGCTCTGGGTCCTCTGCATCATCATCCCTCAGTTCTTCAGACTTTCCCTTTTTCTTCTTCTCTTCCCTGCGTATCTCCAGATCCTCCTCCTCCAGCTTCTTTAATATGACCGAATTATCATCGACGGTGTCCCCCGAGGATTTCTCGTCTTTGGAAGTTTTGTTCTTTCTCTTCTTAGTTATTCTCGAGTCCTTGACGCCTTTGAGTTTGAGTTTTCCTGTCGAGGGTGTGGAGGTGTAATCTTCGGATGGCATTTCTGTAAGTGGGCTGACATCGAACAAGGAGAGGAGGGCCACAGGCTCAATCTATGACGGGCTCATGTGGATGCCATGTAAATTAGACTATCTGAGGTCCGCCTGCGCTGACGCTGGAAATGTAATCGAATAAGAGGTGTGATCAGGGAACGGTTAGATACAAGAGATTCTCCGAATTGACCGGCTGCGCTAAGCAGATGACGGCTTTTGGAAGTAGAGCCTTCGAATTGTGAGCAATTACTTTCTGATATTCTCGCGTCTGGATGCTTAAGGATCAACGCGAGGCAGCCAAGGAGAAAAGGAGAAAAGGAGAAAAGGAAAGAAATTATCTAAGCTAAAGTAGCTACTCATATGGCCTTAATGGGCACCCCAGCATATCAGAGCGAGAACCAGTTGAGCTCAACACACTGTGACATGATCAGATCGATCCCATCTCTGGAACATTCTGATGACCAGCAGTTCACATGGAGTGCACGCGAGGATTGTCACCAGGCGCAACGATCCTCCAACTCTGACTGACCACCTAACAAAACTCCTTCTCAACTTTCTCATCGACCAAGCTTGGCGCAACCGAACTGGTTGTATCATCTTCCACACTCTTCCACGTCTTCTCACCCTTTTCGTTAAAGATTCTGAAATCTCGCTCCCTATTCAATATCTCCTTTCTAGCGCTTATCCACCCCTTCGATCCTCGAGAACTGGCGTACGTCTTCTTCTCATCCTTTCTCTTCTTTTTCTCCTCCTCGGCCTTCAACCAGTCGGCCTCCGGTATGAATTTTTGCTTCTCACTCCTCCTTACACTAATCTTGTCCCCGAACCAATGTACCCCTCTGCCAAGTCCCATGGTCACATGCCCAACGCCCCTAATGGTCGCGCCCGTTGCTCGTAATGGAGAAAGGAGTATTTTCCTCCCAATAGGTTCGTGCAAAGCGACCATGGGCATGCGGGGAAGGACTTTGCGGTCGCCGGGTCTGAGACCGAGGACCCAGTCCCACGTGTGCTGGCAGGCAGGCCCACGGTAATTGAAGTAGAATCTGGCCTCTCCTGTAGGTTATCGCCTTAGCAAGACCCCAATTCTGACAATTGTCACATCGCTGAGGGTTTTCTTCGCTCACCAGATCGATCGACAACCTTCCACGTCAATGTGTTTGGTTCGGTCAACTCAGGTTTGGATGCTATGAGAGCGACGAATTGAAGCTTAGCATCTTTGCGGTGCTTGCAGGCGTCCTTCAGGGCGCAGTATTTGTAGTCCTTATAAACTACCGGGTCGATCTCGAGCATTTCCGATATAGGAATAAGATGGAGGGTTTCCCGGACGCTCAGGACGGTGACTGTGCAAAGATCAAGCGTGTCAGCTTAGGGCTGAGAGCAAAGGATGTAAGGTGGTGAAAGCGGCACGGATCTACAAATGGAGGCCGGAAAGCTTTGGATACTTACAAAGCCATTTGACGATCTTCTTGGAAATTTCTTCGACTGGAGCCCCATCAACGTTGATGGTGAGATGGTTGACAGGCCAATCATCCGCGTTTACAGCTTGGAAGTCCTGGAAAGTGGCATCATTGCAGAGATTGACACAAGCTGTATTGCAACCTTGACTCAGAGCTCGGACCTGAAAGGTTCTCGCTGTGTCTACCACCTCACCCGGAGCGGTAGACGAGTTGGCCCAGATAGTGATGGCATGGTATTCTTGTGGTTTATTGACGGGGGTCATGAGGTCTGGGCCCCAGTAGACGCTGGAATGAGGGATGAGTGAGCACACAGCGTCAGCGTAGACAGTCGAGACGTCTACAGAGTTGTTGATCAAGATCCATGGAGCAAGTGGCAGGCCACTGTCAATCTTTCGAGGGGCTTGCCTCTGTGTTGGTTTTGTTTTTGGGCACATATTTGACGTTCTTTGTAAGAAACGTTAAGCCAAGTTCAGAACAGGAATAGCACTTGCTTGTAGAGCTTCAAGACACCTTGCAAAGGCGTGAAATGAGGTAGCAAACAAAAGTTGACAGCCGGTGTCTCAGGGTAACAAGAAAAGGTGGGAGAGTGTAGATAATAGTGAATGAGGCTTCAATCAAAGATATAGCATCATGAAGGAGGGGCAGTTTACTCCTTCGAGGTGTGTTGATAGAAGAAGGTGAATGGCCATACCAAAGCCACTGTTACCACGAGGTGGTACAAGGCACATCTGTAGGCAGAGTGGAGCCTGTTGGACCTCAGGAAGTCAAGCTCAAGAGCTACAATGCCCCGCTCACGGCCTGAAAGCAAGCGGCTCGAATTTGGCCGCCTCAGCCTGGTCAGAGGGGAGGCTGCATACGAAGAGGTGTTTGTCTCGTGGGAAGGTGGCCCTTGGAGGACTGAGAAAGCTGTAGGTGACTCCCAAGGAGCAACCAGTAACTCCATATTCCCTAGCTTCATGCAAAGGCAGAGTCCAGGCCAGGCAGAATTCCTCAGCCGAGCCAACCAAGATATTTACAGGGCACCCGGTCATACTTTTGAGAATAACCCCACTTTCACACCAAAAGGGGCTCTTTTCATTCCTCAGAAACAGCTTTATGCAAGAACATGATCGTTAATACTAATAAAAAATTATCTTACGCTTATTCTGATATCAGAGTCAATTACTTTGACATATTATAGTAAGAGCTTCATGAGTAAGAGTCTAATCTATCAAAATTTGACTTATCTTATATATCATTAAAAAGTTTAGAATTTTTCATAGATTTTAGTTTGCATCTAAGTCACATTATATTCTTAAATGTAGAAAAAAGTTTGATATACAAGAGATAGTTAGATGTTATAAAATTCTATTCATGTAGAAAATATCGAAAAGAGTTGTCACCTAGCAAATACCGTTGCATTGATTGAAAAGTGTGTCTTTTGGTGTGAAAGTGGGTTATTCATGAACCTTTGGGCTAGCATTTTAGCCAAGAGAAATTCGGTCCTTAAACTTAATATGAGAACTTCATTCCTAAGTGATAGTACAGGATTTACACATAGGAACATCAGTAGCATTCGCCATGCAGAGAGCAGCTGATGTGATGTGGACGATTGCAGTCTACCAGGCTCAGTTGTAACAACATATGATAACAGAAGCTTGAATAGAAGAGATGCAAATATGTAGGCGTGCTTGGGTTGCGGGGTGCCTTAAGCAAAGAAGGCGGCACTGACTGTTCATCTAGCAACAGTTCAATGAATATTCACCCTCGACCTCTCCATCAGGCAAGATTCATAGCTCAGAAGCTCCGATATTAAGCCCATCCATCACCACCCGACTTGCAGCGAGATTCCAAAGCTAGCAGGATCAGTTTTTCTTCGCCCTGGCATCCTCGAATCGCCCTATGCATTCATCACAGAACCGAGATGCAACATGAATGTGTACTATCGGGTAGGGAGGTGGACAGTTCTGCCCGCAATTGATAAGTCCTCGATTGACCGTTACATGATTCATGCAATCATAAACAGTGCACACAGCGTGTGCGATTCCAATTTTGCACATCTCTTCTTTCTGTCTGGTCAACGTCGAGCGATAATCTCGCGAGCAAAGGAGTGTAGTCCTCGAATTTCGAAGGCGCTCTACCGACCTGGTGGTGAGGACGCTTGACTGATGATGGTGGCTGTGAAAGAATGGTTGGAAATGGTTGCAACACAACGGATGGCCTTGTCATATACGAATTGCCGAGTTTTGCTTGAAGGTTTGTGCAGGCGCAGCTGAGACCTTTTCAACATTATATAGAAGTGGTGCTGGAGGTAAGTCACAGCCCAAACGACTGCGCCTGTGACTTTCAGACCGGCGTTTGTCCTCAAGGGTTGCGTCACCGTTCGCCGATAGCTCAATGATTCCTATGCTGAGCAAACTGCTGAATGTCAAACAGTAAACGACTGCATGTATCAGATTGGTGTTTCCTTCCAGGACCCAAGTCGTAGGGCGTAAGTATTTTTCTCACATTACTTCTGAGGCCCCGAAATCGTGCAGTTGGTTTCGTACAGCTCGAGAGGACGCTGAGCTGAGTGAATGGTTGACTAAGCAGGGCATCCATGCACCAACCACGCAGCGGCCGTTCAAGCTCATACAGTGTGTCTTTGAGGTATAGGCCGGCGTCACTCTCCTTCCATGGAAGCTATGGTTATCAAGATAAGCTGTCAAGTGAAATCATCGGAATCAATAAACCACAGCTTGCTCACGAAACCGCTAGCATATCAATCAAATGGAATTGGTCTCAATTCTCCACCACCGATTCTCTTCCTCATCTCCTCACCAGCAGCAACGGTGCTTGGGACTTTGATGCCACAGCAGTCTCCCCAATAATCTGCTTCGTGTCCGTGTTCTTGAAGGTGCTTGATCCTTTCATCCTGCTCTTCAGTTGTGCATTCTCCCATTCCTTTGGCTGCAGGGACAAGGCCCCCAAACAAGAAATGCTGCATGATAGGCAGCTTTCCAAGCACTTCCTTCACAAACATCCTCTTCATGCCTCCTTCAACCTTGAGCCAACTTTTGGCGCCGGAGATATCGTCTAGCATGGGGCTATGCCATCGGAGTCCTTTTACAGTTTTGACGCTGTCAACCCATCTGACTTGATCCAAATAGAGGTATTGATCACCTTCTTCATCTAGGATAACGTTGTTGTGGATCGCCTTTGGTGTGATGTAAGGATGGCCTATCAACTGACTCGCGCCAAATAGGAAGGGTAAGAAATGGTAATCATCCAGTCCCCACACTCCATGACTGCCCGCAGGCTCCAGGTAATATGTCGTTTGTATCCTGCGCATCACTTGAAGGTATTGGACAAAAATCACTAGGACCAGAGCAGGGAAGTCCGGCTTTTGTAGATGTCCTAACTTGTAGAGGCACAAAAGCCACATCATGAAGTTGAGCTCGTGGCCAGATCCATAGTCCAACCGCTCCCTTGAGCCAAAAGAGTTCATGAGGTACACACGCAGCTCATTGATCGCTCTATTGTCAGTTATCTCTAGACTCGATGGGTACGTCGACGAGGAATATATGACAAGGTCATCATGGAAGCCGCGAAAGGCTGGATTGCCAAAGCGGGAGCCAGTATCTTCTGGCGGATTAACATCAATGGACTTCTCGATAGAGGTCAAAACAGAACTGATTCGCGTGATTGTGGCAGACAGCTTTTTTCTATCCACATAGGCCAACGATCTGGACTTTACGCTGTCTGATAGAGTAAAGATCCATGAGAGGATAAGATCGTAACTTTGAGATAAGAGGAAGGTCGCATGATCCTTAGATGACAAGATTCGTCGTCTTGGTTTCTCGAATTTTATCGATCCAAGCTCAGGATGAGGCGGAAGTGGTGGAGCTTCTGGAACAGGATCTCTGTTTTCTGTTGATGTCCTGCAGCGATTTCGTGGAATAAGCTTCGGTATCATCGTCGCTGCACGATCTTTCTGGTCATCGAAGGGCGCCGCTGGTGTCGCCATAGTTTCGTGGATATTAAGTTGTTATAGAGGATTTCAGAGGGTAGAGCGAACAACAAAACGACATCGAGTTCAACCCGATTACATCTGGGGGTGGCGCCGCTTTACACTCGCGCTGTCACGCCGTCTTTCATAACAATTACGTAAGAAAGAATGTTATTAAAAATGGTTTATAGTGGCGATGATGCTCGAGTTTCATCGTATGTGGAGTGTGATATATCACTTGTGTTGGACCAGAATGACCGCGGCCCTGGGAGGACTATAAACTAGCTTATGTCTGACAACTTGTCTTACAGAAGAGGGCGGACAGTACGATATTCCCAGAGAAAATGAGTATGTGACTCTTGTAGCGGTCACTAGCAAATGCCTCGCCACGAATCGGAATACTTCAAGGTAGCTACGGTCAAGATATTGCCGCGAGGTTTGTAAGACAGCCTGTTCTGGCGCCATCTTAAAAAGCGGGCTGTAACTGTCCATACAAGTGCTGTTCACCTTGATAACAGGCACCTCATTGCTCACAAACTCGAGTAGCTCCTGTCGCAACGTCGTCCCATCTAAATCCCGTACGGATCCCACAGCTGAGACTTCTGGTGCTGAGTTATTGCCGTGCTCTCTGCTCCAAGTACATACATAGGCTTGCCGTCCATGCCCGTCCCTCCGTAGTCTTTGTCCAAAGTGTCTTCCCGATCATTGGCATTCCTCGCCCTTGTTCCGAGTTTCTTCTCCCGCTGCAACTTCTAGGCCTAGAAAGCTACACCAGCGAGTAAAAGTGCCCCTAAAGTTGCTGAAATCGCAATCCTCGCCTTTCCACCTGCGCTCATATTTCCAGCAAATCTAGTAGGCGTCGCAGCAGGCAGCGAAGCAGGTGTTCTGCTGTTTGCAGGGATATTCTTTGCGCGGATACACGTCATGTATTTCCCACCCTTATTCGTGCTGGCCGGACAGGAATTATTTGCTTCTGGCATGAGCACCGTCATGATTGGCCACACAATGTTGAACGAGGTTGTCGTAGGCGAAGACTGGAGATGTATAATCAAATTCATAACGGGAGACAAGCGGTGAACTTAACATACCACTAAAATCTGTGATGCGGGCCTGTTGATCGAGGTATATATCCTGCTTTCAGCAGGTAACGATGTATTGCTGATAAGCACTGGAGAGGACCAGAAACGAAATAGCCACACGTCTAGTAGCAATGAGAATCTTACCCAAGACGTTGGCGCTTTGCTAGGTCTGAATTCCATCGTCAAGGTATGGTTGGAACTCAACTGGGAACCTGTTGCTTGGCGATTCTCCTTCCCCCAGGCCAAGGGGGACTTGCTGGTAGACTGGAAAGAGGATAGGAGGCTTTTAAATCAGCATATGACTCCGGCAGGTATCAAGCGGCTGGTAGGAAATGGTCTTACTGCCAGATTGCTATAAGGTCCAACCGTAGAGCTCAAGGTCAGATATCATGTATTTAATGCTGCTCTCCTCGTCAATGCTGTCACACACTCCTCGGGGTAAGTCTGATGGCCAGCAGTCTCATCATTCTGTCCTCGTCGGATGGTATTGGCTGGCAGGCCCTTGAAAACATAGGCGCATGCACTGAAGGCATTTTAGTATTCACTCAAGCACAGTTCAACGTATGGATCCAACTAGAGGTTTGTTGTAGCGTCTGGGGAATTTGTAGTAGCATTGCTAATGGCAGTACCAATTGTGTTGGTGATGTAATTGGTTTTGATATCGACGTACCACTGGCTAACTTAGTTGAAGCTGGGTCAGATCGATATTGGCCCTCCTGTGGCATTGGCATCAGGGAGAAGAAAAGGGCCTGTATATTGTGCGGGGCCGAACGGATGGGGTACAGCAGCGACAGTGAAATCCAAAAATGCGATGACAGTCAACAGCGCCAAATTTCGGAAGACTTGACCAAATATGCAGTACTCCATCGTACCAAACCAAGTACCAATGGATTTTGCGTGGCGTTATGGGTCAGAAAGAGAGGAGATGAGAATGGTAGATGAGACAGTATTGGTAAGATTATCTCCATAGATCTCTTCCCAATATGATGGGGCCTTGACATAACTATTGTCAGTTCGAGGCGTAGCGGCTTCTCTCCATGGGATACAACTTTCACCCTAACCCGTCACTACGACATGTAGCTAGGGGGATCAGTAGCTGAAAGAGATCGCATCGTGAATATTTCTTATTGTTGAAGATTATCTCGCATCGCGTAGTAGAATACTTGATCGTATTCAGTGGAATAGACGGTCTGACTCCAGCGTCCCGCTCAAGAGTTTTTCATGTACAATACGGAATGAGAGAGTAGAGTACTACATCAATTAGCGTAGACGAGTGTGAAGTCTTGCGAGCTATTTCAGATGTTCTGCGAGTACTAAAACAGCGGTCAGGAGCCAACCGATCACCAGCTGCGCTGTTGTACAACAAAAAGGTGGATGGCTGCCTTCGGCTCAATGCTAAGTATCCTGGGGGCATAAATGCTCCGGCTGGCCTCAAGGATCTTCGGTCCGCACCCGTACTCCGTTCCAGAGATGAAGTGTAGAGACTGGAGGAAGCGGACGAGCTTGATTCAATACCTATGGTCCTTCTTCCTTGGGGTAAAAGACGAAGGGGGAGGGTGGGTTTAATTGACTATCTCCAGGGAGTGTCCAGCTCCACATCAGCCATCCCCTGTAGAAACGAATTGGAAGCTAGTCATCTTCGCATGATATTAGACCATCTGCAGTGCCAGGAACAATCTACGTCTGATTATCACGCCACCAAAGCAAGGATAAACATCATGCAACAGCCGGACTTGGTAAAGGTGCTCTGCTTGGAGCTCTCATAATGTCCAGCAATGCTGCAATGCCATTCCCAAGGTAATTTGTCTCCCCTTAGAAGACTGTTGGAGAAGGACATCGCTTGCTAATCCACCTCATGGCCTCTGCTATGCCAGAAAGCAGCGCCTATGGTCGTGAGTACTCGCTAACGCGGGGCCTTAGTGGAAGCAACCTCTCACCAAGACAAGCCTCTCCAGGACAAGCCTCTCCAGGACATCAGCGCACCATCTCCTTCTCCGAAGAAAGTCACCCCAATCGCTCTCAACATTCGACATCTATAAGTGGTCCGTGCAATCACGAATCAGTTGCTGGCTCTGCGACGGGCGCAGCGCTGGTTGGTGGTCGAGACTACGACAGAGACCAGAACGAGCAAAGCAGTCCTTCTCCGCCAGATCGCCCTTCCTCAAGTTCTTCTGCATCAGAACCCTCCGAAGAATTAAAGCAGCCATGGTACCGCCAAATCGCCGCCAGCTACCGCTCCATTTCCCTCGAGAACAAAGGCTCCGTGGCTCGAGACCACCTAGCGCTCGAGCGCACCTTCCTCGCCTGGCTCAGAACGTCCCTAGCATTCGCCAGCATCGGCATCGCCATCACACAGCTCTTTCGCCTGAACACCAGTTTGGCGGCAGGTAGACAGCAGCGAAGAAGGGACCTAGACCATCTCATGCTGAGGCGCAAAGAAGCATCTCTCCCTTTAAGTCCTTTGATGGGCGCAAGCCTGACTCCGGATATCTACTCGCACATCCAAACCGTCCTCCAAGAGCAATCCTACCCCATATACAGTCCCTCCGATAACAGCGCCTCCACCGTCCTCGACCAGCTCCTTCTGGAACCCACAGAGTTCGACTCCAACGCCGCCGCCCGCCTACGGCATCTGGGTAAACCGCTTGGCGCAACATTTCTGGGGATCAGCATCATGATCCTCTTCATTGGATTTCACAGATATTTTGAGAGCCAGCATTGGATTATCAGGGGCCAGTTTCCAGCCAGCAGGGGCAGTGTGGCGCTTACGGGGTTCGTTGCCGTGGCGCTTATTATTGCAAGTTTGGTGGTTGTGCTGGTAGTGGCGCCGGCGTCTTATAATAAATAATGGGATGTAAACAAAAAGAGGCAGTCGGGGAGCATAATAGAACGGGTGCTGATAATGCGGCATTGCGTTACTGCATCGAACCCGCGTCGACGGCATTACTCGGGCGTCTGTTGCCTTGCCCGTGGCCAGAATATCTCTACCGCAGCTCGCAAAGGCTCACCACGTTCCTGCCAGCTTCAAATAAGACGATGGCTTCTCCAGAATACATAAATCAGACCCCCAGAAGAACAGAAAACAAAAGTTCAACACATTCCAAACATCACACGATCTTCTCGCCCGCTAGCCTTTCCAGCTCGACCCAGTGGGTTCACTAGTTATTAGCGATCGCGATAGAGCGGCCAATAGTACGGTATCGGAAAAGCGAAGAGAAGACACAGGCAGAACCCGCATGCTGTGCGAATACAGTCCGTCTTCGCAAGCTCCAATATATTCCCATGAAAACCCTCCCATAATACATAAAGAGGTCAACAATTCGATATACGAAAAGCAACCGGACCATGTCTAGATGGCAGTGGATATCTAATCGTGAGGCTAGGAATTGTGCGGCCATGTCTGCGGAGAAAAAGTTTCTACAACCAGGTTTTGGAAAGATGGGGATGGTGTGGCATAGTATTGATCCGGGCACATAGGAAGAAAAGGAAAACTGGACGTACTCCGGGATTACAATAAAGAGTGTATTCACCTTGAGGCTCACTCAGTCCGTGGTTGCAAGCTGAGAGACTTGGTTTTGGTGATTCTCATTTATTATTTAGAGCTCCGATTCATTCATTGATTCTTATCCACTGATGTAGCTGAACTAGCTGTACATGAAGCAAGGCCATGGCGATTGCCAAATCTCTTTATGTACTCTCTTCCACTTTTGGGCAGATGAGACAGGCTCGTGTGGGATAGATCAGAGTTTCCCGCGCTACGTTCACAGCGCAGCCCGTAGGGTAAAGCAGAGCAAGGCTGTGATCCGAGGCTCAAGTCCAGGAGCGTCAACCTTAGGCTTTTGTACCATTTTGTGTGGGACGAGCAAGAGGCAGAGGCTTTTACTCGGTAGTATGATATCCATTCTCGAAGCAATGTTGGTGAAGGGATGGAATTAGCATTGCAGATGTGATGGCACATCTACGTTTTCCGTCATTCGAAAAGTATCCCAAGGTCGAATCGCCGTCGTTGGTGTCATTGTAGTAGTGCCGTACCCGTCTCAGCTTGGGGGAAAGCAAAGTCGGCAAGGGCGCAGTACGTTGATGCCCTTTGCTGTCTCATGCAACGTATGTTGCATCTTGATGACGATTGGGCCAGACATCCCGCGCTCAGCCCTACAAGGAGACCTCACTGTCCATGTCAGACGCAGGAGCGCCAGCTCCTCCTTTCGCCTCTGCCGGCGTGTCGTCCGATCTCGTTTGTTTTGGCAGCAATCCCCTCAGGCTCAGGTCGTACACCACATCCTCGACTTTCTTGACCTACATAGCCAAGACAAACACGGTTAGCCAACTAGGCCTCAGCATCCTCCATGTACATAACTCCTTCAGGTTTCCGAGGCCTGTAGAAAGTATGGCAAGAGGAGTTGTAGATGGAGATGGGTAGTCTTACAGCGTACTTAATGCCGTCGCTCCTCCTGCGCAGGGTATCATTCTTGAGGTTGAGAAGCTGGAAGCCGGCGTGGATGTCTTTGATGAACTTGCTGATTTGAAGGGGGCGGGAGAAGTCGCCAAGGGTTACGGCATTGGGAGCGAGGCGGGTCTGGGATACTATGTTAGTGCTGGTATTGAAGTCTGATAGCGGTTGTAGCTGTGATGAGATAGACAGAGAGGAGATAGGGTGGTGAGAATCTGGCTGAATAGCATTCGAAATACAGGAAGGCTTGATTTGAAGAGACAGTGGGAATAGAGCAGACGAACCAGCTCATCTATCGTACTCGTCAATGCCAGAAGATATTCCTCGATCGTGAGGTGAAAAATGTCCCGATCTTTGACGTTGATTGGAACTGCCAGGGCTCGTTAGCTCCTGGCCACCATTCTTGGTCATGGAGCGGCACGACTGACCTCCCAGCTCATTGCCGACCTGCTCAATAGTCTCAAGCTCCTGATGTGCGAGCCAGTGCCTCAGCTGGAGACAAAAGATCTGGGAACAAAATGTTAGCTGGCCATTGGCAGCGGAGCAGAAGAATTGTTGAATAAATCATCCCTGGCTTACCAGGTTCTGCATCTCTCGTGTCCATAGATTGTTCCATTTGTAGAAGGGATGTTTTGATGCAATGTCTGACAGAATTTTGACAAGGTGAATTTGCGTCAAGATGGACTTCTCGCATGGTTGAAATACAGCGGGTCCTACTGTGAACCGGCGCCTTGGTCAGAACTCTTCGCATCAACGGCCAGGCATAGAAGCATAACCTACACTGGCCTGTAGGGGTGTTGTGGATGCGTGATAAAATGGACTGTGTGACTCGGCCTGGTGAATGTCAGAACCCAGGATATGATGGGATTGGGGTCGTCTGCTGCTGGCGGACCTTGCTTCTCTAGCTGTTGGATGATGTCTTTGAGTTCCTGAGACGGCTCAGCTATGTGAAACTACGACGGAAGGATTCCATCTACATCTTTGATTCTACCTTCTTCATCGATTTTGGCCTGAAGATGCTCGAAGATAGCTGGGTCGATATTGCTGGCTGCCATACTCTATGAGTCACGAACTTAGGATGATGTTTACTGGAATATGTAAAAGTTTGATACTGAGTAGATATCATGCTATGGAGCATGAGCATGATGAAAATCTGGCACAAAGCTCAGGCAGTATGCAAGCATCCGTGAAATTTATCCCAAGAGGGCAGCGATGAGGTGTACCATCAGCAGCATTAAAATAGTGGGAAGGATGGATCGAAAGGATGGATGGAAAGTCAAAGCTCTTCTCCAAGTCTTGAGACCAGCCCAAGAAATGATGAAAAGATGATGGTGATTCGCATCACAAGGCGACAGTGTAAGGCCTCGGACACGGTGCCAGAAATCCATTGCGCAAGCACAGAGGGATTTGACCAGCGAGATCCAAAAATGAGATTAATCAATGTTTTGTTCCTTAGAACAATTTCAGAGATTAAACTGAAAAGAACAGATACTACACTTGATCTAAGCCAAAAGGCAAAGAGAGCTGGAGAAAAAAGAAAAGAAGAGGAAGAAGTGGTGGAGGAGGCAGATATTTGTACTTTGGCGACTGGCGCTACTGGACGCTAGTGCCACTAGCACGGCCTTGGCGCTAGGCAGCAGCCAAATTTACGCCAAGGCCAAAATGTGCGGCCCGCATTACTAGTATTCAAGTTGATTGTGGGAGCTCACAAGCCCTAATTTCGAAAATAGATTGATCCGTAGCTATCAGCCAGTTTGTGAGAAACAACTCACCCCAACAGGCATTGCACTTCAACTCTACAGGCGCAGGATATTCATCTCTTTGCGACCGGATCCATCAAGGAAATGGCTCCAGCTACAGTACGTACATCGCTTTGCTGTTGGTCAGTCATTGCCATTGGTATTACTGGCCTCATGAGCAATAGGCTAAGAATATCGTGAATGTATAGAAAGGCAAGCCTGCAAAGGTGACCAAGAAGGTAATGTTCTGGTACTTCCATCGCACTAGAGTTGTCTGGACTGATCAGCGGACATTCAGTACACCATCAATTGCTCCCAACCAGTCAGCGACAAAATCTTCGATCTGTCAGCCTTCGAAAAATTCCTCCACGACAAGATCAAGGTCGAAAACCGTGTGGGGAATCTCGGCGACTCAGTCACGATTGCGCAGGTTGGAGATGGAAAGATTGAAGTTGTAGCGCATATTCCTTTCAGTGGACGCTACTTGAAGTACTTGTAGGGTCAAGACCCAAGCAAAGCGGAATGCTAGATGGCTGACAGAGTTTGGACAGGACAAAGAAGTTTCTCAAGAAGCAACAACTGCGAGACTGGTTGCGGGTCGTCTCCACAAGCAAGGGGGTCTACGAATTGAGGTTCTTTAACGTGGTCGATGAGGATGGCGAGGACGATGATGAATAGGAGGGATCTTGAAGACGGAATAAAAATTCCAAGGCTAGAATGTCTACTGGCGTACATCTTGCGCTCTCCGGAAATACCGTAGATATGCTGGAATACTATCAGTTCTGCCATGGCTAATGTGCTTCTTGTCGTTGTCCTTCCCTATTGTCAGGAAACATTGCCGCCAGGATGATGACCTTCCGCCTGCCTTTGATATACGTAGAATTGATACCTCATGCTCTCCAACTCGACGTGATACCTCAATTTGTCATTAAGTCGGAACCACTTCGAGTCATCAGCCTCCTGTTTCTTCCATTTTCCGGTCTCATTCTCTTCACTCCCTGCCAAATTCTGCAGTGTATGATCCAATAGCCATTTCATGGGGTATCGCTTGGGTCCATTGCCCTTGCCCAAGGTCACCTCTGAATAGCTACCAGGGCTGTCGACCACCAGGAGCCAGCTTTTCGGCTTCATGATTTCGGTAAGATTCAACAGGAAAGCGGTGGTCTTGGCGGTGGAAGCAGAAAACAACTCATTTAGGGTGAACATAATAGTCACAAGCGACGATTCTGCGACCAGAAGCCGTAACTCCTCCACTGAGCATTCCAGGATATCGTGCTGCTTGAACTCCACATGAAATCTCTCCGGAGCAATCAATGCTCGATTAGCATCTACCTTAGCAGCACTGGCATACTGCGAGAGTACGGGAGACTTGGTGACTGTGGCAGTGAGTTTGCTAAGCACGGGTGACCAATCTGCGACATCAACAGCGGTTATAGACAGCTGCAACATAGGGAAGATGTTGCCAATGGCAGCTAAGGCAACGATCTCTGCACCAGCACCTCCCCCCACGCAAAGAATCTGGGCCAGGCCAGGGTCTTGCGCTTGGTCGGGTACATTCGTGATCCGGTCTCCGAGCCAGCGATGTTTCACGTCAAACTCAACAAATATGTCAGCATATGCCAGAGCCCGGCTGGCACTCCAACGAAGTGCATAGACATTCAAAAGCTGTTCCGCACTAAAAGCACTGGCAAAGTCTCGATTGTAGAGGTGGCTTTTCACAACTTGAATGATCTGCCTAAGGTTGCTGTCTGCTGGTATCGGCAAAGCCTCTCTAAAGACATTGAGCATCAGTTGTTGAAGTTCCAGTGGTATTCGCGGCTCCTCTGACGGTTGTGCTACCGCCTGAGACGACTGTAGGTGTGAGGTTGACTTCAGCGTATCAGCTGCCTTGCCTTTATCGTGCTTCTTACCTTTCAGCGCCATTGAGCCAGGCCTTTGGATGTCGGCATATACGAGGTAGGGTTGCTATAGCGGAATGGGGTAAGCCGGAATACTGGGGCCAATTTTCAACAGATGAAGGTGGCACACCCAGCGGATAGCCGAATGTGTTTCAGAAACAGCCGTCTGGGACCATCGATCTGGATGAAGCCATCGAGGGTGTTGGAAGGATTGCCCCTGAAGTCCTTTGGGCGTTGTCCAATTGCCGTGATTGCTGCAAACTTGCTCCTTGAAGGAATGCAACTGTTCAGCTGGCATAATCAGTCCATTCGCTCTAAATCCTCCCCGCAGTTCTCAACAGCGCTAGTTTATCCCTGAATGAATCTTGATCGGTGCGTCCCCGGAGCGGGCAGACCATCAGATCAACGAAAAGGTCAATCTAAAGTATGAACCAACCATTAGCTGTCCTCACAGCGTTGACTTCTTCTTGCATTGTTCTATTGACTAGAGCAATCTTCAATTTTGGTCTACTCGTATCGACGTATCATCGTGCCTGGGTAGGTTTGGTATGTGGCTGTAGTTGAGCACCCGAAAGTACGTACGTGGCTAATCGGGTTGCGAGTACGGAGTACAATTACCTGGATGAAATGACCGCCCGAAACGTTCTTCACATCCCAAATCCTAGGTACCACTTTGGGGTCCACCTGGACCATGGACAGTGTGTGTGTTCCTCCTTCATTGGACGAACTTGCTGACCAGAAAGGGACGCTTACAGGCCGCTTATCGGGCTAAATGGCCCGACAGCTTTCAAGGGCGCCTTTAGTGGCGCTCACGATCAAATGATCTCCTGGCTTCGGCGTGGTGGATCCAACACAACTGGAAGGCCTGCAACCACTCAAGTCACCCAGGGAACTGACCACTGACCAGAGGAACAATAACGAACTGATGGGGTGCATCTGAAATTCTGGAACAAACATAGCCGACCAATAGCAAGATGTACAGAGCACTCATTGATGGGATAATTCGAATTGCTACACATGATGCCAGGCGATATCAACCTCGGTTTCTAATCTATGCATCATGGAAAGCTGCAGTATAGTGTGCTGGGACCGGTCGAGGATCTACATCCATTAAGCGAATGATTTGCAGCTTCTGCAACTGAGGAGTGGCTCGGGGGAATGCCGTACAACCATTTCCACGAGTCAATGCTGTGTACAGGACTCCCGCTCCGCTCGAGAAGTTGCCGCAACGGTGCAGCTACATGAGAACGGCGTATCTGGGCAATTCACATCATGAAGACGTCCTTGATATCAGGTGAGCGTCGAAGCCTTTTCATCTCCAACGCATGACTGTGTGTAGGCGAGACTTCCGAATCGGTCACGGGAGAGTGCATACGATAAGCCATCGAAGGCGTTATTATGTGACTATCAGCTTTTCGGACAATTGTTGCCAACGCGAGCAAGTCGATCAGGATAGCTTCCCCTCCCAGGCCACACCATGTTGAGTGGCACAGATAGCTACCACATCTGACAAAGGATACACGTCAAGTCGCAGTGGGAAGGCCTGATGACAGCTCTGGCAATCAGCACCAACAGGGAATCTTAAATTAAAAAGTAACGGTTCCTGACAGGGCAAATGTCGTGGTTGCTGCGTGCAGTACTAGTTACTACGTAGTCAGTTAGTCGAGCAATTTCAAGAAGGAAGCTAAGCCGTAGTCTGCCCTTGTCTGCCCTTGTCTGCCCTTGTCTGCCCTTGTCCTCCTCCATCAGCAACTAACGAACTAGTCAACTGCCTTGGATTTGGCTAACTAGTTAGTTCGTAGTTACTCCACCTCTTCCTGCTCATTCTTGCTCTCCCTCTATCCTACCCTCCACCCAATTATCCTCCACCAACTTCCCTCGTCCGACTCCTACTCCTACTCCTCCTCCTCCTGCTGCCTCCTTCCTTTGGCGCTTCCCTGGATAGAGGCTCGAAGTCTCCATTCAGAGTCGTTGCCGTCCATTCCTTTTGCTCCTGTCCTTTGCCTAGACATCTTGACGACTTACCTCAATCCAACACTCACCGAAGTCCTCACCCTTGGACTATCCGGTACGACAGTTCAATCTGAACACGGCTGGGTTGGCCAATCGCTGACGCAGTTCACCTTGCTAGGCTGTCGGACCCTTTTGCTGAGCTCTTCGGCGTTATCTACCAAGCTGTCGACTGTGGTTTCTTCTGCAGTAATAGTGGTGACCACACAGTGTGGCCATGCGAGCTGTTTAAGGGTGCAGGAAACCCTTCACTAGAAAACGAGTGCAGTCTACCCTTCGTTGCCCAACCTCTGCCTGATCATGGCCTCTGTATCAATACCCGCAGCGGTGCCTATCCAGACACCGTTCGACACTACACTCAACATGCCTGTCCACCCCAGACGGATACATTCCCGCAGGACATCTCGGAAGCCTAATCTTGCTCCTATGCCAGTTATCACACTCAACCCTGGGTCGATGGACAACATGAACAACGAGCAGCAATCGAGCGATACAGGCCCAGAGCCAGACACCAAAGCCGATGAGAAACAGCCCACGCCAACAGGGCGACCAGCCTTGCCAGCCTTCTCCTTCAATCCAGGAGCTGCAACAGACTCAGACAGTAGCTCATCCAGTCCTACCCACCCAATCTTGGAAGAGATGGCTCACAATGGGTCCCGCCGTAGTTCCAGACCCGCTGCCCAACCCGCCTTCAGCTTCAGCCCTGAATTCAGTGAGACCCAGATAACTCCAAGCCCAACCAAATCAAGCTTTGCTTCAGATCCGCCCACCTCAGCAAGGTTCATGGGACATCGTCGAAGTACAAGCGAGTTCATCGGGGCCAGTGAAGGAACGCAAGTGTCCAGCACACCTACTTTCAGTGTCAGTCCTCGGAAGAGTGCTCTAAGCCCTCCGGTAACTGGCTCTGGTCCACCAAAATTCAGTCACCAGCATCGTCGATCGCAGGCCGTGTCCATATCTGAAATAGATACCTCAGAACTCATCAAAGCTAATGCTGTTGCGAAACACCGACCAGGCTCCACGCCATCCACATCTATCGATCTTCCTTCTAATGATCACTTTTCTCGAGCAAGTCAGTCCATCTCAAACCTTTATGAGAGGACTCCACCGACTTCGCCACGTCGTCGAGCAAGTGCTACTGGCACTCGACCTCGGGTAGGATTTTCCGACACCATAGATGTGATACCTCGACCTTTGTCAATGATCTCCTCCGAGACTGAAGGCAGCACATCCACGGTCCGTGGTAATCATTCTCTGACTGGCAGTATAACGTCGCTAGGCAGTTCGGCCGCTCGGTCCACTCCTTCGCCTATTCTCGATGGTAGTAGTTCAGCACAAAGACCTAGAACTGCAGATGCCGCAAGCCTGAGCTCGCGGATGCCGATGCAAGTTGACCAAGTGGACGAGATTGGTTTACCAAAGAGGCCGTTCTCGGCATCGGAATCGACCAGTCTTTTCGCAAGCTTGGGAAGTCCTGTAACTAAGAAGAGGTTCTGGTCCCTTTCTGGCGGAAGCAACGAGACCTCTCCGATGACTACTCCCAGACATACCCCAACAGTGGAAGAGACAGATCCCATGACAGCGTTGAAGCCTTTCGCGCCGGTGGTACATACGACAAGTGCTCAAGCACGGCCAAAAACATCTCCGGAGCGGAAAGCTAGTATCAGGAAGAGGAAGGTCCGAACAATAGCAGGATCTATCTTCTCACGCAAGGCTCGTAGCCGCGGAGCACAGAACAGGGGCAGACGCACACCAACTCCGCCACTTAGCCGCTCATGGAGTAATGGTGTGGCAGATGCTGTTTTCGATGAGGACAACACGGTTGTGATCACAAACACCCCATCACCTGTCCAAGAATGCCCACCACGCCCGTCACTGACTACCGTTCTACCATCCCAAAGTTCGCTATCTAGCTACGACGATGATGATAGTGATGATCGTGTCACGAGTCCAGTTATCGATTTGGATGCTGCGCTTGGACCTTTTGGTAGCGAAGCAAGGCTACCTCAAACTGGGTTCGCAGCAGCAAGAAATAGAATGCACAGCAGTGTAGGGAGGGCAATGCCGGACGCGTTTGGCGTGGTGCACCGTAGAGCAGAGAGCGCACCACAGATGCCTCCGATCAATAGAAACACGTTCGGCGTGCATTGCTTGGGTAGCAATCCAAGTGTTGCGGAAGAAGTCTTCGACGAAGAGGAGGAAGACGACTTTCTGGCAGAAGAAAAGAAGCCGAGGGCGGAATCTGACCCTACAACTGGTCACGATGCTGGAAGCATCAGTGCCTCAGAAAGCTCTGACCCAGATGAAGCCACGGAAGACACCACTGTTGCACCTTCACGACCTCTGAGTGGCCTTGCTAATTCGACCAACATATCGTACGGCGTTGCAATCGTCGATACTGAATATGATGTTACCCGCGAGGCTGCAAGATCTTCAAACTCAACGCTTACTACACCCACCATGCCAGAGTCTGAGATCAAGCAACCCACTTCATCACCTATGACCTTGGCCTACCCCGTCCCTCAAGCTTCTTACGCATCATCAGGAGAAGGCCGATCCGCACCCGGCTCCGCAATTTCCTCCCCAGACGCCGAACATATCAACTTTGACAACTATCCTCGTTTCGGTCGACACATTGGTGAGCCAGGTCCCGATGCTGGTTTTCGTTTCTCAACCGAGGACGTACCTTCTCTTTGTGATAGTGTATCGACTGGGAATGCTCCTCGTTCTTCGAGTGGCGCAGTCACGCGCTCTTCGGTAGATCAACGTCCACCCTCTTTCTCTTGCCCTTCCACAGGTGTGGGTAACAAACCACGGCAAGCATGGAAGCGCGCCAGCCTGGCCAGTCTGAACAAACTGATACCAGGTTCGTCGCATGGCGAGAGGAGTCGACTGTGTGTCGAAGAATCGTCTGGACGCGAACAAGACGACAAGGCAAGAAGGAAAGGCAATCGCATTAGTAGATTGATGAATTTTTGGAGATCTAAGGAAAAGGAGAACAAGTAGGACCATGCCATTCTTGGAGACAATTTGGTCACCCTCAACCGCTCAAGGCCTCGTCGATTGATGATTTCACAAACGCATACGAGTCCGCCGGTGCATCGGAGTTTTTATGGATACGGGTCGCATGACTGTTACGGCTTTGCTGATTTGTTATGGCACTCCTCTGGGATCTTCACTCATTGAAACGACCAACTTCAGAGATGCCGTCGTTTAAACGGACACTCATACGCACCTGGCCAAACACCCAAACCTCACGTTTATTTACACGCGAAGAGCGCAATAGTAGGCGCACGCTATTCTGTCCCAACCGAAGTGGCTTTTAGGGAACTTTCTCCGCCTTCATCACGGAGAATATCACATCCTCGAGAGCCCACCCTGCACTCTTCTTCTTTCCGTGCTTTCAAATCTGCTTGGTGGTCATTTGCGCAGATGCCGACCCAAAATCAGCAGATGTGCAATCATTTTAGCGACCGGGTGGTTTGCATGTGGCAGCTTGCTCGAGGCATTTGCAAACAGCTGCAACAACAAGATAGACAGCTCAGCTTAGTTAGCTTTTTCACGGCTTCTCCTCCTGACTTGATCAGGATGGAGCTTTAAGGCAATCAAGAAATTGTATTCTCAAATGCTACTGCTGGTTTTGTGTGTTGGTGCAAGTTGCGTTATTCTTGACGCTGGCCAGTGCATGAACTACGATGAGATATCTGATAATCGCCTGCCATCCTGCGTGCTTGCGATGATAAAATTCTCGTTCTGGAAACAACAAATAAAATACTTGTATTATCGGATCCGCAATCTCAACCTCGTGTTCACTGTTCAGCTTATCCCATGTTCCTAACACCATGCCTTCTGATTTTTTATCTAGTTCGTGATCCCTACCTTTCTCCCTCCCTCCCTCGCTCTTCTCTTTCCTTTTTGGATCTCGCCTCATCTCGACTTCCTTGCCTCTCTTTCATATCCTCCGTTTTGCTGTTCCTTTGTAAACCCACCCCCCCCCCTTTTTCTTTTTTTACCTCTTGTTCTGCGCCCTCTATCCTCACGAGGTTCTTATCGTCGGTATTCTGTTCTATCTTTTACTCGTTTTAGCCAAGAGAACTAAGGGAAGTAACTAGATAGGATAGCTTGCTTTTTCTTTTCTTGCTTCTCGTTTCCTTTTTCGTTGTAGGAGTAGAGACAGAATTCACGAATCGATCACGGTATAATGAGTGGGTTGATTCCCTACACCATCTAGAAAGGAGTGGTGGTGGGGGTTTGATAAAGAGGAATTGTGAGTTGTGAGGAAAAAGAGATATAGAAATTTTGTCGATTATACTTTTGTTTTCGTCTTTTGCCTTTTTATTGATGATGGGCTTTGATCAGTAGTTAGAGTAGAAAGCTAGGATGAGGGATGTGGTGGTATTGTCCTTGCTAGTTGGGTATATAGGGGCACAGAGATAGAGGCACGGAGAGAGGGGGAGGGAGGGAGGGAGGGAGAGAGGAGAGTGGTAAGCCCAGAGCCTATAGATCACGTGGTACTTGCTCGCTTCTTGCAGGTCGCATTAGAGGGGACCGGAGGACCAAAAAGACTTATGGACAAGGCTCACCAGGAATGAACGGATGGATGGATGGATAGACAGCAGAGGAGTATATGGAAGGGAATGGAACGGGACCCAGAAATATATAAAGAGAATTTGTGTTCTCTGATATTGTGTTGAGAGGTGGTAGGGAAGAAGATGAATCGATTGAAGGTGATTTGAATTCATATCAGGGACCAGTTTCTTTGGAAGTATGAAATAGGATAAGTGTACATGGGGCCAGACGTAGGGGAAGGGGGATAGATGGCGGAATCTGTAATGACTGGGGTCAAATTTGGAGGATGAAGGATAGAGGATAGTGATACGGAGGAAGATCATTTGAGGACGGTCTCGAGGCCAGAACATAAAGGGCAGAGCGTTCTGAGCAGCGAAGCTTTTAACAGTAAAGACAACGAGACCCAAGCCACGTAAGCCAAATGTGGATCCTGAACGTGGAAAGATGAGTGGTATTTCAATGCTCAATGACAGAAAAGCCACCCATGTGACTTAAGTAGACCGGAACAATGCTCTAACCCTTTCGTGGTAGAACAGAATAGGCGAGCGGCAAAATGAGGAATCAAAACATATCCGGCTTCATGCCCCAGCCCCGAAGTGGAAGACTACCTACTTATCCAGCTTTCTCCTTAACGTCCTGGTCCTCCTCATTAACTTCTTATATTTATGTTTCTTCATTTTCAACCTCCTCTGCCTCTTCACACTGATGGCGTATAACTTTCGTCTCCTTAAACCCGCGCTCTTTGCCTGAGGGCCCTCTCTTATCCGCCCAGGTCTTCTCTGCGGTTCTTCTTGGTTCATGATGCTTGCGTTAGGGTCGTAGTGTATCCCGTCACCTTCTCCCCTTTCTTCAATTCGATGGAGCAGTGATGGATATGCTGGATTTTCTATCTCGGTGGTGTGGGGGGTGAAGAATCGGTTCGCTTGTCTTTGCCGTGCTCGCTCATGTACATTGATGATTGAATGTCGGAGTCGTTGAGGAGCGTCTTGCCTTGCGATTTGTTCCTCTAGCTGCTGCGCTTGTTGTTCTTCGGCTTCTGCTGCTGCTGCTGCTGCTGCCGCGTTTTCAGCTTCCTTTGCTTCTATCTGAGCATCCGAGATGGGTTGTGGAGGTGGCGGTGGGTTGAATGGTCGGAACTGTCGTGCAATTTGCTGGATGGCCAGTTTAACTCCATTGGGTACTCGTAGAGGTAGATTTTGCTGGGATGCACCATCCAGATGTTGTGGCTCAGAAGCATTTGAGGAATTTGGATTGTTATGTTGTGTTATAGCTGAGATGAGGTCCGAACGGTCCTGTTGACCTTGTTGCTGGTTCTGGGTTGTTGGCTGGCTCTGAGATTGTGCGATGGTGCTATCGAGGTTTTGAACGACTGACGCAAGGGTGTAGATGACCTCTGCAGTGCCAGGTTTGGACTTTGAGGATGACTTTCGTGACGTAAATATCGATTGAAAAACTTCTTCAGGTGCTGACAGAGGAACTGAGGAAGTAACGGAGATGGGTCGGTGGTTGGAGAAGAAAGATGCGACGAAGACATCTGACCGGTTGTGTTAGTCGAGAAAATGAAGTCTAGAATACATAGATGACTACCTTTCGGGTCTAGATGTTGCGTACTGGGCACACTTGGAAGATTTATGGCCCATTCGTCTTTGCTATCTACGGGATGTTCACTCCTAGCTCGTGGTACCTTGCGTCTCGATAATCGTGACTCGGCTCCGGACCGCTTGTGCCCAGAAGCATCTTTGGCTCTTGGTGTTCCCACTGTCTTCACAGATGGGTTTGCAACATTCGCTGGGCCATCATTTGGTGGGATTGGTGGCTTGGAAGACGACTGCCGCCGCTGATGTGATCGCGAAGAGAAGGAGGCGGCTATGGAGGGTGTAGGTCGAGATATGGATTGTGGCGAGTTAGAAGAGCGCACAGCTCTGCGCAACGAAGACGTGATCATCCCAGATTTGGTTGAGAGAATCCCTAGGAGCACCCTCTCGACTTCTCGACTGCGGAGATTGTGCGAGGAGCCCGGTTCAAGGGTGATGAAGTGTAGCTGTGGAGATGCTGTGACGGATGGCCGAGAATCGGGTCTTGCCATTTACATAAGCGCCAAGCAAGATATATCTTCCAATGCTCGAGTCAATAGTCGCCTCCCTCTACTTCATCAGGTTCATCCGGGCTGGAAATACAGATTAGTAAATCGGTACAGCTCCACGCTTGATACCTGATAGATCTGGGCAGTGTGCAAACAAAATCCAGTTGTGTACAAGCGGCACCACAGCGATAAAGCATTACCATATCTAAGATCCTTAAGCTATACACTCCGACCAGCCACGGGCATCAGCATGCCAAAGCAGCAAGATCAGATGCAGAATGATTTCAATACCCTACAGACTCATACACAAGCACCGTTTGAACGTAACGTCAGTGAGCGCTTGTGGCACTCCACAACTTCCCCTTCCCCCGGACCTCTTCATCCCTCGTAGCGGACGCTTCAAAGCAGCCGTCCCTGTAATCCGGATATTGCTGACAATGAGTCTATTCGCATCCAATATCAGAACCGGCCTTAGCGTTCATCAACAGGGCGACAATGAGACCATAGAGACCTGAAATGCAGATGTTAGTACCCTCCTCAGAGACGGTATCATACCAAAAAGTGTTCGCATGAGAAGTTGAGCAGACTCACCCAGGACTTCGGCGAAAATGAGAATCAAGATCATTCCGACGAACAACCTCGGTTGCTGAGCGGTCCCTCTTACCCCAGCGTCACCAACGATACCAATTGCAAATCCAGCAGCCAACCCAGACAGGCCAACGGACAATCCAGCGCCAAGTTGAATGAAGCTAGTGAAGAGTGGTTGTTTCTGTTTCAATCCGTCCGATATAAGAACACTAACGACCAATCCATAGATACCAATGATACCAGCCATAATGACGGGCACAATATCTGAGATAACGAATCAGCTTCCGAATAGCTTGCTTGGGTGTGGTCCCATCGGCGTACTCTTGACGATAAGATCGGGTCTCAAAACACCCATAGCTGAGATACCAACACCTGATTTGGCAGTTCCATAAGCAGCTCCAAAGCATGTGAAGACAATGGCAGCCGTGCAACCCATGGTTCCGAAGAACGGCTAAACGCAAACAATCATCAGTATGTTGTTACAGCGATTTCGCGTGGGCGGTAGGGAAATTCGAAAGTGGCCAAACGGGTGTAATGCACTACGGGCGGGTATGCGAGAGTACTAACCGCATAAACGGGGCTATAAGGTGAAAAGAGTCAGCCAGCTATCTGAATCATTGATATACGGTGTAGGATGGACGGGGAAGCATCGCAAAATAGCTTGTTGACCATTGTACGGGAGGTGTAACTCGGGGGCCTACCAAAGGTCTGATGACATTTTGGCGGTTGTTTGTTGCTCGAAGACCGGTCAAGAAGCGGATGACAGAGAAGGCGTAGAGTCGGGATGTAGTGAAAGATGAGGGACCACTGTCTGGTTGATGCTCGACACTGATTCGAAGCTGTTGTGGATGCAGGAGTTGGTGATGCTAGCACATCGTCTGAGAGATTGAAACTGGAGCTAAATCGCAGCCACGGTCACGTGTATAAGCTTGGCAGATCATCACTCTCCCTAACTCGTTTGAGGTTTGCACTGGGAATTACTTTGAGTCGAATTCAGAGGCCGGTATACGCAAAGGGCGAGCCACGGCAAGGAACCCTTTCGCAAACTCATCTCTTCCCACACCGACTTGAACACAAAAAAGTCAACTTTTCAAGCTCGCAAAATGGCCAACAACCCATCCGCCGGTGAATATTCCCTCTACTTCAAGTACAGCTTTTGGCCAGCAGCTATAATATCTTCAGCATGGCCTATCGCCGATGAAGCGCTCTCGCCATAGATTCTTTTTTTTGGGGAGGGGACATTGTACAGCAAGCTCAGCACGCAAGGCAATTAAAGAAAGGAGCCAACGAAGGCAAATCCAGCCCTCTTCCCACCCCATGAAGCTCCAAATCGCCAAACTTTGCGAACCTTGACAAGAAAACTGCGCTCCCCTTGCTTACTGTTCAACACTCTTTGCCGTTCCTAACACCCAAAGCAGCAACTAAAACCCTCAATCGCGGGACCGCCGCAACTCATCATCCTTGCAGCCGACACTTCGCCTCTGGCCATCCTCCTCCACCTCCCTCTTGTCGCAGAAGACAAGAATTGTCTGTACGTGTATGTACCAAGCAAATTGAGCTTGGGAAGAGCATGCGGCGTGTCGAGAGCAGTAATCGCGGCGAGTATCACGCCGAATGAGGCGAGTGATTTGACCCCGCAGATCAGGGAGTTGAAGAATGGGGTGGAAAGGTTAATGATTTGAGGGCGGCCAGAGAATGGCAGAGAGGTGTGCGGGAATGCCTAGGTGAGGAAGACAGACGAGCTATAGCGATCAGGCTAGCTAGGCTGTACTTTCGAGAGACGTTGATTCTTCGAACAATCGGATTGGCATACGCTAGTATCGACGATTTGAGTGACAGAAACAGCAAAGTTCTAGATAGCCAGTAAGTGAAGTAATGACCTGGCAATATCTTGCCATTGCGTTACGTATGCGCATCAGTATTCTCTGCTGTTTTCGCTAAGGAAGAAAGGAGCTACTACAGATATAAAAACAAATTAAATGCGCGGACCGTGTAATCCATTCCTTTCCATCCCAACTCACAACCCACTCTTCCCTCCAGCCGGCTTCGTCTTCTCTATCTCCTCCACAATCACCTTCTCCAAACTCTCCGGCGTGGTCGTACTCGCCCACCTCCCCTTCACCTTCCCATCCCGTCCAATCAAAAACTTTTCGAAATTCCATTTCACCCTTTTCAGACCAAGAAGCCCGGCTTTCTCATTCTTCATCCACTCCCACACCTCCTCCGCCTTATCTCCATTCACGTCTGTTTTCCCCAGCACGGGGAAGCTAACACCGTAGTTAACTTGGCAGAACGACTGGATGTCGTCGTTGGATCCGGGATCTTGGTTACTGAACTGGTTGCAGGGGAAGCCGAGGATGGCGAAGTCATTGGGGTACTTGGCGGAGAGGGATTTGTTGAGCTTTTCGAGGCCGGTAAATTGGGGTGTGAAGCCACATTTGGAGGCGGTGTTGACGACGAGGACGACTTTATTGCGGTATTGGGAGAGGGGGTAGGGTTGGCCTTTTTCTAGAGGTTGAAGGGAGGTGGTTTAGTTCAAACTTTTGGAGCGGAACGGGAAAAGAAGTGGCTATTTACTGTCTTTGGGCTTGAAATCGAAGAAGGTGGTGGCGGACGCCATATTGCGTCTTTGCTGGGCTTGAAAGATGGGAGTCTTGTTCTCAGTTGGTTGCTGATTAGTCCAGACGTTGAGAAAGGGTCGAGTCTTCGATATGCCGGTGCTGGCTGGTCGCCCCTGAAGTTTGATGGCTGTTTGGAAGAGAGAACGAGAAGTTTGCATGGACGAGGACACAATGTACACCGTGAGAGTCTTTGGGAGGCGGATCGGTTCTCCGACGTGTTAATTATTCAGCCATCTGGATGCCTGTTGCGTCACCTCAGCCAGGATGTCGATCAGCCGAGGCATTGCCCTTCTCGCCCTGCGCAGCGTTGCTCGCGGGATGTCTATCCTTAAAGCGGCGGATATACTCGTATTCGTGCTCGGATCGAAGCCTTGCTCTTGGTTGATGCATTCTTTTTCTGCTCTTACCCAGTTTTGCAGTTATACGTGAGTATTTAAAGGTTCTTGTCGCTTGGAAGGTACTCAATACTTGCGTAAACTCTCTACATGTCAGCTCCAAAGGTATTGCCCCCTTGAACTCATACGATATCAGAATTAAACATCACTTTCTGTCAGGCATGATGTGGATGTTGCACAAGAAGGCGCCGTATGTCCACTCCTCTATACATTAGCCTAATTATCATTGCATGCCAGGCGTTCGATTGTCATCACCCTTTATCCTTGCTACGTCAGCCAAAGCTGGATGTGCTCTAGCAAAAGCCGGTCCGAGCGACCAGTTCGAAAGGTTCCTCAAGTGACGCTCGAACACTGGATTGATCATCAATTCTTCAGAGTCTGACTGGAGCAGAGCATCTGTCGGCTCATATGGCCAATTCAAGGACAAAGTTGTGGTGTAAGGCAACGTGAAATCCTCGAAGGCGTAATCATGGTAGCACTCCACAAGCTTGTCTCGCATTTTCGGCCAAGGTAGATAGTCTATCCAGGCGGGATGAGGTGTGAACAGCTGCGATGGCCGTGGGGTCATCCAGTCTGGTAAGCGCTCGTAATTCTCCTGAGTGGGATATATCTGCCATCTCATAATCAAGAACATGATATACAGGACGGCTATCTGCTGAGGTAGTGCATCGATGGTTGGAAAGGTGCTGAGAATATCCGTAAAGACTTTGGACAAAGGATGTGACTCGATTTGTGGATTCAATAATGAGGAGACACTGGGGTAGGATGGCCCGACCAGCCTCTGTGCAGGTACGCCTTGGGCAGCTTCGTTGCGCTTCGACTGCAGAAAGCCCAGAAGGAAACTATCAAGCGTACATGTCGGTTCCACATTGCGGCAGGGTGCAGCCCACGGAGCAATAGCGTGATCAGTGAACGGACTATTCGGTAAGGGCGGATATGATTGAGAGCTTGGCGATGTTCTGTGCTCACGTGGACTCTGGTTTGGCTGTTTGACCTTCGCTACGTGGTGCGATCCATCCAATAAAAAGCCGAATCCCAGTCGCTCTCCGGAATCGTTCAGGTCCAGCCCATGGTGTAAGTTTTGCTTCTGGTAGGCCAATGCATCAATGGGCGACCAAACGCGCTCGGGATTGGGTCGGGCGACAGGCGGCGGTACGAAATTCTGTAAAAAGGCAGTTGCATTGTTTGGTGAAGGAGAGCCTAAGGTCTGAGGTGAGCCTTCTGAGTATGATCGAGTGCCGTTGCGCGCATCGCTGTATTGGCCTTGCAGCAACCCCAGTTGCTGCGTGGTAGGAGGCTGATTCTGCCCGTCTGTTTGAGCAGCTGTAGCAAGATCTATAAGAAACTCGGTCAACGGAGCGTTTCCGGTATGTGCAGATTTAGGTGCTCACCCGTCAAACCATGGGCAGTGACTATCGGTTGTATGATCGACAGGACGGATTCCAACCTCCGCCGTATATCATCGTTCTCGGCCTGGATCGCATCTTTCTGTCTAATCACCGCTTGGAGTTCCTGATATGGTTGCTGTGACGTCAATTCCTGTATCTTCTTCTCTAGAGTCTCAATTTGAGCCTTTGTTCGTTCTCGAATGGCTCTCTGTGCTTCCCTGTCATTTGCGCGCTTCTTGGCGAGTTGCTCAGGAGTAAGACTGGCGACACCTCGGGACGTGGTAGGTCCAGTTTTGCGTCTTTTGTTTGGATGGCCAGGAGATGAAGGGGTTGTTGCCTCGGGTGGTGAGGGGAGATTCAGATCGATAGATCCAGGAGCGGACATTGGTAGCATGGGAAGCGTGTCGCGTTGGCCGTAGCCAGGAGCATAGAGTCAAGCGCGAGACCTGTGGATGAGCGCAGCTGTGCAACAATTCTAGGACCAGGGATTGGGGATAGTCATGTGTAGGAACATGCTTTGAATCTACGAGTCATGAAGTTTGTGGTAGGGATAGAAAGTGCATCCTACGCTGCAGCTGTCTGCCTTTCAATCCCCGTACGAAAGTCTTGGCACTAAACGGGTCATCCCCAAGCCACAAGTTCCCATCGGCTCTTTCAACACCTCAAAAGGATTAGGGACGTTGAAATATCGTATCTGCCCGACCAATTATGATAGATATCAACAGATATATTTGACCGCCAATTCTCTGGTGCCCATAGTTTGTTCTACCATTTTCCCTTGAATCAGAAGCACATCCTGAAGCTGGCTGTTTTTGTAGCTTCAGATCTGGAGGTGAGTATAATTTGATGAGGTGACATTGCTCACTTGATCCTACTTGCTCGACTCGGTCGGCAGAATACTAAGGAATCTGTTGGCTTTCCCTCTTTTGATAACCCACTCTTTCTTTGTCGGGTGTCAGGATCTGATCTTGGGGGCGGGCTCCAGCTCTGTCTTTTTGGATATGGAGAAAGGTGCGTTCCATTTCCGTTCTATTTTCAATCTACTATACTTTTGGAAGTGGTCTCAGGCGGCCTTCAGACACTCAAAACTGCGACAAAGTAAGCTGTATGGCAGAGCGTGTTTGTGATTTGCTGGCCACCAGGTACAGATCGAGGTGCAAGCCCTCTCTTCATTCTATCTATATCTTCTGGACAAGTTGAGGCTGATGGATACCAAAAGTTTCATGATATCACCGTTTCCAGGAGGACATCAACATCATGAAAAGAGAAACGCCGCTCGGGATGTCTGACTATCTACTATTCCTTTCTTGAGCCGCGCCTGGTCTCGTAGTTCTGGAGCAGCTACAATGTCTTCGCGGAACATCTTCCTAAAGCTACCTACATCGCCTCCTCTATTTTCTCGCTTTCAATCTCAGCATACCTCTCCAGTAGCTGCTCCAGCAAACTCACAATACCTCGACTAGATGCTACCTCTATTGTCTTGCTCATGTCGATCTTCATACCTGTGGTAAGAGCAGTCGAACCACTTTGTTGGGGCCCCGTCCTGATGCTCTTTCTAATTCAGCCTTCATTGTCTCCCCTTTAATGTCAGCTCCTCGGTTCAGGAGCATTTGTACCGTCTTTGTGTAACGCCGTTGTGATGCTTTATCATATGCAGCCTTCATTACCTCCCCTGTAATGTCAGCGCCGCGGTCCAGAAGGAGTGTTACCACCTCCCAGCGACCCCCTGCTGATGCCATCCCTATCGCTTTCCCCTATTGCGATAATATCAATCTTGGCCCGCTTATCCAGCAACAATCCCAGAACCTTGGCTCTTCCCTCTTCTAAAGCGGCCTGTATCGCAATGAACGTCACCTGCGCTCCCTTGTCTAGCAGCGATTCTATCACCTTCAAATGGCTCTTAGGTGCCCATTCCAGCGCCTCGCTGGTAGCCTCAGCGCCTTCGTCCAGTAATAGCTGCACCACCTTATAATGAGAAGGGTCATATGCTATTGCGAGCACATCGTTAGTAACGTCCGCTCCTCTGTCCAGCACTGGACGCATCTCTTCTCCTGACCAGAATGAGACGCTCCCTCGAGTAACGCGTTAGTAACTTCAGCACCTCCATCTAATAGCAGTCCCATGATCTTTACGTCACAGTACCGTGACGCCTCACTGCTTCTTCCTGCAGGACGTCTCTATCAATGTCAATATCACTATCTAATATCCATTGCACCCATTCCTGGCTGCCTGTTTGGGACGCAAATAGGACTCGTAGTGTAGACCCATTAGCCTTGGTCATCTCTATCGGGAAGCAGCTGCGTCAACTTTCTCATGACCCTCGCACAATGCTGCGTTCAAGGTATCACCATATCTCTCTCCCTCAACATACGTCAGTAGCGAAAGTATCTCCTCATGACCACAGACCAATGCTTCCTGCAACGCACGGTCTCATTGCTTACTTTCGACGTCCAATCCGGCACCATGATCCAGCAGTAGTTTCACTGTCGGCAAATGGCCTGCTCTTGACGCTACACGGAGTGCAGTACCATAAACCCCTCCTGAAGCATTCACCTCTGCGCCGTGGTCCAGTAGCAGTTGCACTATTCTGTCATAACCATACTCCGAAGCCACGCGTAATGCGCGGTCACCACCCCGGTTGATGGCACTTCTTATAGACCCATCCTCCAGTAGCTTCTGAAGTGGTTGATGTAAACCTAAAAAGGAGGCATAGAACAACAGAGATGCAATATCATCTGAAGACCTTTTCAACTCATTAGAAATTCCGGTGTAAGGGTCGAAAATCCTGATCCAGTCTTCGAAGACACCATCCTGAGAACTAAAGAAATTAGTAGCCAATGAACTGAGTGACTCAGACTTTTCGTCTCCATCCCGAAGATGCCGATACCAGTATTTAGCGGCGTATGAAGCTAGTGGAAATCTTTTGAGATCTGTTGTTTGAACATTTATGAGATAGACAAGGCATGTCTTGGCTAGCTCCGTGTTTGCTGTAAGGCCATCCAGGGCAAAAACTGACGCTGTTTGGGATTTGATGCGTTGTGACTCCAGGTATTCTTGAACTGAGAAGTGAGCAATCCTAACCAGAGAAGGGTGATCAGTTTGTTCCACATCGGGTAGGTCTTCCTCCGATTCAGGCTCCGAGTCAGGTTCCGAGTCAGGCTCCGATTCAGGCTCCGATTCAGGGGATGCCCAATCTTCCATAGCATTCAAGCTAATGAGGCCTGGACAGATCCAGATAACATCGTTTGCATCCTGCAGCCGACGTTCGCTGTCTAGTCTTGGATTCTCTCCTAGCTCGATCATAAGACCATCAATGATCTCCTGCACAGTTACCGGACGTTTTGCAAAGCAGAGCCAGGTTAGAATTCGCTTGGCTTCTTCCTTCAGCTCAGGATCTATGTTCATGAGCATTCGACTATATGTTTCATCAAGCGAGCGGGGTAGAGAATTAAGCGCCTTCTTTAGATGATAGTAACTAGAAGGGCAAGATGCTAGCGTCGTGAACTGGCAGTCCACCCAGCGAAACCTGCTATATGTATTAGCAGATTCTGTATAGACTACAGAAGAGCCGAGACTTACACTCCTTGGGCGCGTCCGATAAGCGTTTCCTGGATTTCGGTATGATATGGAGCCCATTTCTTGAATTTGTGGTCGCTGCGGAGACGTTGAACTATATAATCTGCGATATCATCATCGACCCCAGTGTTATCCATACGTATTTCTGCAGTAAGATATGAAGCTAATTGCGAACGGATGTCGGTCTCGTCACGGCTGGTGACCAGTATATGGAGACCATGGATTGACCAGCCACACATCTCAGACAATGAACCTAAAACAGCGTCTCTTCTCTCCCCTCGGGGGGCCTCATCCAGAGCATCCGCAATAATATAGACATCTTCAAATTGCCTGATCACTTGTTTGAGCGTATCCTGCAGTGGTAGTACTGGCGGTTCACTGTTTCTATAGGTATTATGCAGACGAGCAAGGGCCGCATGTCCATCGTCAAGCTGACTAGATAGTTGTAAAAGCAGAGCTCGCAATAGTCCGGAGACGTCTTGCTTGGACTTATCACTGAAGCTGAAATAGTAAAAGGCAATACCAATGCGAGGATTGCTTCTGCGGTGCCGGAGCGTGTATTGTATAGCTGTCGAGCTGAGAATAGTCTTCCCGCTTCCTGGATGACCGTTGAGCCATAGGAAAGAATGGTCCTCCTCTAGCCATTTCTGAAAGGTTGGACCGTTGACGAGCCAGAGCCCTGTTCTTGAATGTCTCCTTTTACAGGCCTCATTATGATTGGAAGTAGCGTCAGGAGCTCTGAGCCAGTCTCGAATCGCGTCAGATATCTGAGTTGTTCTCAGGAGATTGACCAGGACTGCTAGGTCCGCTGTATCGTTTTGTATGTCGTCAACACGCTTGAGCTGTAGAACGTTGAGGGCCACCAGTAGATTACTTCGAAATTCACTTATGTCCTCATCAAGCTTTTTAAGTGTGCTCTCTCTGAATGGGTAAGCCAGCTTACGGCCGGCTCTTTTCGCAACAGCCTGAATTCCCTTTTCAGTCGAGTTACCGAATTTGTCCAGCTCGGTTTGGAGTTCTGCAATAACGCCTCTACAACTTTCGACAGACTCCTCAACATTGTGAAGCTGTTTCACTTCGTCTGGCCTGAATCTTCGTTTCTGTGACGCTAATTCCAGGTTCTCAAGGGTAGAGAGTAGATTTTCAAGCTTGCGAACGGTTCTTGTAATGGTTTCATCTTGATGCTTGGAAGATCTGTAAAAGGCGACTAGCCCTTTCGAGACTTCGATTCCAAGGAGATCAAACCTGCCACGCCGGCAGCTATGCTAAGGGGATCGCTCATGCTTGCCTCGAAGCAAGGTCGCGGCAGCCAAGTACCCAACGTTTTTCCGTCTTGTACTGGAGCAAGACAGGATCGCCAGGATATCTTGAGGAGACCGCCGATGGAATGTGATGGTGAGAGCCAACTACGAGTTGAGGTTTCGCAGAAATTATGAACAGTCTTTCATCGATATTGCCCATAGAATCAATTCATATTCCTGCTTCTTATTCTGACCTTGGTTTGGCGGGGCACGTAAATCACGTGATCGTATTCAAATTTTTCAGACTCAAAAAGCCTTAACATATTAAACTGGAAAGCCTAACCTGACGTAACGTGACTAGCTGACTTACGCAACACTATCCTGGGAAAAGGCAAAGAAGTCCAAGCTAAACCAGGACCAGTTGAAATCTGTCGCACATGTGGGTGTGTTGCGTAAGTTCGGTTAGTTGAGCTACTCACTCTTATGATCCAGCCGAGTTTTCCCATCTCCATTATCCCATTCCTGAAGCTGCAAAATCCATCACAGTACTACTATACAGCAGATTCAACATCCAAGGCCATGCAACCACATCGTCTAAAATTTGACGGTTTTCTATCTGATGGTTTTGGGACAAGTCGAAGTGGAGAGTGAGGCCAAGCCGGCGGCCAGAAACAATCATTATGTGACCTTCTAGATCTATCAGTACTTGACACTACTCAAAATTACTCCGTACTTCGAAGATCGATGGCTGCTACCGTTCACAACTTATACACCTATCAAGAAAAGCCGCCCGACCAATCGGCTTGACATATGACAAGAACCAATCTACGACTGCTGAAGAACAGACACTTTTGGCGATACAAGGAACACGCCATTTAGGTGCGGCGACACAAAGCCGAATTGCATGAGGGGGAGTAAATCAATACCCGACTCACCTATTTCCACCTCAAAGCTCCGCACACCCTCCAGATGCCATCAATTGGCAAGGAGGACACAAAACATGACATGGGAGCCAAAAAGACCCCAAGATCAGCTGATTTCTCGATCCTGCATTTTGATATTGACTCAACGCCACCAGCCTGGGGATCATGCCGCTCTATCCAATACTTTTCCTGTGGCTTTGCGCACAACATAAACGGGGTGGCCTGTTGGTGCCCTTCATGTGCCGCAATAATGCTGGCAGCTCACAATGCCTTTTTCAACTAGGCCTTCAGTCCAAGCCCGTATCAGGAGCTGAGATTTCTCTCCGCTACAGGGAACATGCGCATACACTTTCATTGGAAGTACCTGCGGGAGATTGTTGGCGCTTTGTACGTTCTCTTACGATGTTTTCAACTACGTAGTGCGGTACGCAAGGTCAATTTGTCAGCATTTTCGAAGACCACAATTTCTTCTGCGCTGATGCACCATGTCATCCATTCTAGACGCAGCAATTCCATGTCCAGGAAGGTTTGAGAGTGATTTTGTGGCATCTCTGCCGCTGAGATATACTAGCTCCATAGGTAAGCTAATCCGAATATAATACAGTGCAACGGCGAAGTCCAATGTTCACGTCCACCGTTCAAATATGTCTGTCGCAGGATTGGTTGCAAACTCCTTGCTGAATGTCGGCGAGCCAAAACCACCTTGCTGCTGCGGTTCTTGATAGTCATTCACGCTATAACCTCTCGAGCCCTCGCCCGTTGTGAAAAATGGATCGGAAGAAGAAAAGACTCCCGGATTGTCGAAGTTTTCAGCAGGCGTAAGAGGGAGCAGTGAGCCGAACGGAGTATGTTCCTCTGAAATCGAGCCCCGTGATATGGAATTTCGAGTGTCGAAATTTGAGGTAGGTGTTATCGATTGCGATTGTGGTTGGAGAAGATCGTTTTGGTGAAGCTGCAATGTGTCTTCAGTACCTTGAAATCTTGAAGCGCGCATCGTCGAGGCAAATTTCATCGGGCTGTTGTGAGGAACTCGTAATGTTCTGTTTTCGGAGTGGATCTCGTGCAATTTTGATTTCAAGTTGAAGATGTCTCCCTTCTGTTGATTGTATGCTTGTAGAAGCTCTTCATATTGTTGATGAAGATCCTCTAACTGTTGTTCGAGATTTTTGACATGTCGTTCCTTGCGCTCGCGAAAGGCACGTTGGGATGCTCTGTTTTGCGCGCGACGCCTCTGAGCAGGGATTAGTGGGGGATCAGCAACTGCTACTTGGAATGGTAGTACCGAGTAGTAAGAAGGATTTGGTTGCTTCGGCGTTGTTGTCTCACTTGAAGTCTTCTGCTTCTTCATTGGATTTATCTGGAGTGAAGTCCAGCTTGTGTAATCCTCAGGCAGAGCGATGTCGGAGGAGGTGTAAGTATCGGAGCTATTACGCCGACTATGCGAGGGAAAGCGCTACAAAAGCTCAGCGCCTCTTCAAGCATCGCGAAGGGCAAGCTCAACATACTGGCATGGCCGAAAAATCCTTTTTGGGTGACCCTTCCACAGGATTGGGCGGTGAAGATATCACGGACTTTCGGCTGAGTGTGCTTAACATAGAAGTTTCTGGGTCCATAAAACGAAAGCTAATACCGATCGATGTATGTTTTTACGATCGCTTAACTCAAGTCGACGAGGTAGTAGCAGATAGAAATAACTTGTATGAACACAATGATTACTAAACAATGGAGACTTTGGGAGGAAGTCAAGGTCAAGAACAGGTTCCCCCGTGGAAATAAGTATTTCGAGGAGATGGTGCATCCTTTCTGGAGCCGTAGCACGCTTGAGCAGATATGACAAATTGGGAGGAGGGCTTTTAAGATGGAAGGATTCTCTCGGTGCTTAAGTCCGCCGCAAGGTTGCGAAGCTCGACCGCTTTCAAACAACGTGGAAACATTCTCAGCCCATACGACATAAGGAGAACTGAAGGCTCCGGAACTGAGGATGTATAGACCCCGATCGAGAGCGTGAGCATGGACGGGACCAGGAGTTCCTGCGGCCATGCTGGGATCAGCAGCGTACATGACCTAATGCGTCAGCGAACTGCTAGTTTGAGTCACAGAAGGGCGCTGGCATTTTGTTATGCTATGAGAATGATAGGGCTTGCTCTTCAACGCAAATCAATCCTCGCGCCAAAAAATATGTGACCCTGGCTGACCGGTTCTGCGCCAATCGTAGTGAGCAAAAAGATCATGTGCTTTGGTTGCGTTATCCTTGGCATTACTGTGCCAGCTAACGTCGTTGCAACAGTGACTCTGCATTCTAGTTAGTGATGGGATCTAATCCCGAAGCCTGCACAGATCATTGGGCCTGTGGCATTTGCCTTATTGGGTCAGCGGAGGTAGCAGATACCACAAGGCGCGACGAGCCGTGCGCTGAAAAGCCTTGCTAGTATGATAATCCAGAAGCCAAAAGGGGAATCCCAACCTAATAGCTGGACTTGGATCCATATCTACAATCACACAGGTAAGACTGTTATCGCGTAAAATAATAGGGTTAGCGAGCGCGCTACCGTTTTCTTGTAGGGAAAGTCTCCCCGATCTCAGATGTCATTTCCGGAAAGACAGACACCTAAATCTGCACCTCGATGCTTGTAGCGTAAGTTCGTGGAGGTTACATTGAGATGCTTGCCGTGGTGTGACAGACTCTATGAGGCTGACAACGGCTGATCTGTGCGGAACGTCAGCTCGTTACATGATCTGCGGTTGACTACGTGGAGCTACTTGCACGTGGGGATACGTAGTAGAGTCCTCGAGTTTCACGCTCCAGTACCGGACACCAGCCTGTGTAAACATTGATGTTCGGCTGAGGTCACAGGTAAGTGGAAAACAAATCAACGACCGACAATCGACAATCTGCAACCTGCAACCTGCATGTAACTTAGCTGCAGAATATCTCTAACTATGCTACCGTCTACACAAGTTATTGTCGACTTTGAACATTTCCTTTCGCGTAGGGACCAGGGTTTGGTTTGACACTTGGCGCCTGATTATTGCCTAGCACTTCCGAGATACTTCATTGAGCAAGAATTTGTCATTCTCTGAGGTAGCATTGAGGTCCTCAGTCGTGCCGAGAAGCGTCCGCTAGCGTGGGCAAGCATTTCATAACCATCAACGTCTTTTAAACATATCACTCCACATCACAGCAGCTGCAGCTTAAGAAATCTCAGACTATGTTGGCGGAGACCTTTCGGCGGATAAGCACGAAGTTCATCCGTAGCCGCATTGACCACACGCACTGAACTCAAATCTTTCCAGGCAAGAGGGGTGAGTCACTGCTTTGCTAATAGGTTTATCTTCAGCATCGTCCGGATTGATGCTACTGTCTCTCATCAAGGGAGCTGTGTTGCTGGTGGAGGCATGCTCTCGGACCAGTGAAATGCTGGAAGATGCATCTCAATGCATTCCGTGGTTATAGGTGTACGGTCCATCAAGACATGTTAATCTTAATCATACCATAGTATTGCTGATGATAGAGTCTCTCTCTTTTGAAGCGGCAGCCCAGGTCTCTTTCTCTTCATGTTGACATGGACAGTAATGGCAACCAGTCAGAATTTTAAAGATTTTTCTATGCTTAGGTTAGTAGCCTCGACAGGCCATATCCTGATAAAATCTTGAATTAGCACAATTCAAATAAGATCTGCTCGCTCAAGTTTCTGTACCTAGCCTCAGGTTCTCAAGAATCGAATTGTTGCTGTAATGCGAGTATGAATTTTATCCATGCGAGAGACTATTTGGCGAGATCAAGTGAGTACTCTCGAGATATCGAGGAATTATACGACGGTTCAATTTGAAAGTATCTCAAAGTAGATTGCCTCTTTCCGAAATTGTGACACCCGATAAGCTTATGATCTTCCTATGGTATCGGGTAAAAGTAATGTTAGCACGGTGCTAGGACTTTTTGCTCCAGAACGGACTCTTAACCAGACAGCTAGAATATGACCAGTTAGCGGCACTGCTGTGACCAATATCTGTGGGTATCAACCAGAGAAGCTTTTAGGCATCCAAGTGGCGCTGTATTATAACTAGCTGTTACTAGAACCATGCTAACATTATTTATGCCCCTTACCATAGGATGATTCGCACGTGTGGTGCCGAAACTACGCGTGTCATGTTCACCGCTCCGCTCGGCTATAGGATATGGTTTGCAGTGATCAACAACCTTGGAACGAGGGGTGAGCTCACGACGTTAGTTGGTGCCGGTTTCGGCTTCAGCATGTGGCGATCGCACGTGGCGACATTGCCAAGGTCGTGTGGTAGAGGTAAGTACTACGTATGCCTGCCGCTGGACTCACACACGACAGACTTGCGGATGAGGAGCAAAAGCGCCCCCGCCCGCGAGGAATACGACTGCGAATGAGTGGTTCAGACTGGTTGTGGATCTCAGGGAGACATGGAGACAGACTAGACTTAGACAAGAGAAGTTGGAGGCGCTCTACTTCGGGTGGGGGCCATGCAATATTGTTAGTTCAGGGCTAGTATCTTCACTCGAAAACGCCCTTTGCACAGAACAGCTAGACCTTGATCAGACTAAGTGTAAATTTTCAACTCATCTGAATGAATGTGCTTAAGTCAAGCTTTGCAATAACAAATCATAGCAGTGCAATAAAGTAACGAGAACTAGCTGCTACTAGCACCAGCCTGTCAACACTGATGCCTCCCTGGGGTAGTTTAACTCGATTCCAGCTAAAGCCTCCACTTCCGTTCCGCAGATCCGCGTGCGACGACCAGAACGAATTGACCAGTTGTGCAGAAGAAGAAGAAGACACAAATAGTGCACAGGTCGTGCGACGAACTTAGCCTAACAAATTCAATCATACCCAAGCGTGCATTACTACGTACAATTTCATGGGCGGTTCCCTCCACCAGAATTCCGTCTCCTATCCATTCTCACTCCTTCAGGCTCACTGCTCTGTTTTTCTCTTCTTCATTTCCACCTCTCACTCCTTTCATTTCTGGTGGAATAGGTTGGGGAGGACGAGGACTTTCGAGACAAGTCACATCAAGACGTAGAATCCCGCCACTACGTACTAGTAAGCAATTGTGTACCTGAAACACACGACTTCCCGTCCTTCAGGGTAAATCAAACCAAGCCATTGTCAAAATTCCTCGGCTCACAAGGCCTGCTTAAGACATCATGCGAGCTAACGCCCATGCGACGACTACAGGAGAATTCACTTACAGCCCAGAGCACGCACATTTCACTGAATACAGTGATATTCCTCGAGCTCGTGTCTGAGCAGGTGTGGTTGATCCTGCCTGTAGTTGCCATCGCATCACCTCCATATCCCAGCCACAACCCCACGCCAGATTTCGGTATCGTTTCCTGCGAACTTGGTTAAGGATAGCTGTGGTGCACACTGCAATCATCGAAGATGGGTTGTGTGATGTCCAGTATCGATGGAGATGAGAAGTATGCGGTCGAGCAAAATGCCAAGATAGAGAGAAGAATCAGGCAGGACAGAAGATTGGACGCACGCACTGTGAAGATCCTGCTCCTGGGTATGTGCACTATTCTCTCTTCACTTGGCAGGATGGAAAGGCAACTAACCCCACGTTCCTTCAGGTGCGGGCGAGTCAGGAAAATCTACTATCATCAAACAAATGAGAATCATCCACGAGCGAGGCTTTCCTGATGAAGAAAGACGACAGATAAGGGCAGTGATCTATTCCAACATGATCGTCGCGTTTCGTCTCTTGCTCGAGATAATGAACAATGAGGCATACGGGTTTGCCGATGAGAAGACCAAAATTTATGCCGAGACTGTGGAGGCCACGGATCCCGATGTTGACGCAGATGAGGCTTTCACGGATGAGAATGTCCGAGACGCGATGAAGGCGATGTGGTTGGATTCGGGCGTGCAACAAGCTGTTGCGAAAGGGCATGAATTCGCTTTGCATGACAATCTGAGCTTGTACGATCTCTGTATTGGAGGCGCTGGGTATGACTAATGTTTTTCTAGCTACTTTCGAAATCTGGACCGCATGTTTGCTCCGAGTTGGATGCCTGACAATCAAGATATGCTGCATGCTCGCCTGAGGACGACCGGTATCACCGAGACCTTGTTCGAAATGAGGGACATTAATTTTCGGATGATGGATGTTGGTGGTCAACGATCGGAGCGGAAGAAATGGATTCATTGCTTCGAAGGAGTGCAATGCTTACTCTTCATGGTAGCTCTCTCAGGTTACGACCAGTGCTTGGTCGAAGACCAGAATGCTGTAAGCATTCCCTCTTATTCCTCAAACATTGTCTATTCTAACGGTCTCACTAGAACCAAATGCACGAATCGATGATGTTATTTGAAAGCCTTGTCAACGGAGAGTGGTTCAAGAGAAAGCCTATCATACTGTTCCTGAATAAGATTGATCTGTTCAGAGAAAAACTCGCCATATCACCAATCTCGAAGAACTTCCCAGACTACATCGGTGGGGACACCAACGAAGGAGCGGCAATGCAGTACTTTGCAGATCGCTTCCGAGGCATCAACCGCACAGCAGACCGAGAGATCTATATCCACTACACTAATGCAACAGATACCACGCTTCTGAAGGCAACGATGCAATCGGTTCAAGATATGATCGTCCAGAAGAACCTCAGCCACCTTATTTTATGAGTCAACTTTCCGTTATGCGGCATCGGCGTTAAGAAGGGCAGGTAGTTCCAAATACTCATTCTACATCATGAAAAACTTGAGCTTTTAGCTGTCTCACGACGCACTCAAAAAGAAGATATTTCCTCACGTCGCCTCCTTGCACACAACACACAATACCCGCGTCTTTCGGAACCATGCTTGAAGGGGACGGGCAGGTTACCAGCACTGCTCGCTTCCTCACTCGTTCAGACTAGTTAGCGTAAGCAAGCGGTTTATGGGTGACATCGCATCCAAAGAAGTTAGCTTACTCCCGAATCGCAAACGATGAGACGGCCACCTACACATAGGCTCAACTGGTTCATGTAGATATGACGAAGATAAAATAGAAATGAATAATAGACCACCACCGTAGCAGCAACAGTGCCCGCTATTTGGTACTACCTCGATTCCTGCTCGTGACCATTGCAGGGGGCTTCCAGGATCCATGACATTTAAGGGCATTCGAGGGTACACCGTAATCCCTCGATTTGTGTACTGTGCGACGTAATGTCTTGAAGGCGTTGTACTGACGGGTTCCTACATACGAAAGGTTAGATGGACCACTGGGGCTTAACAGCAGCTACCCATTCTAGGTGTCGAAGCAGTACTCCGTAAGCTTGCGGCTCTAGCCCGAAGGCCCCTGTTAGTCATAATCTTAGGGTGCGCGGAAAGGTAGAGTGCTTTTTTGGCGATGGTTTATCGAAACTAAAACGTACAATAACGCAATAGGCCGCTATGCTTGCGTTGACGGTTTTACCCTCGAAGTACCACATCTAGAGTTACGTCAGGAACGACTAGGGCTGAGTCTGCTGAACAAGGTCCCAGTGTGCCCTATGCTAATAGCCCCTTAGATTTTTCACGACCAAGTCTCTAAAGCTTGCGATAGCCACCCATGTCGAAAATCTTCATCGCTATTTGAACATCTTGGCGTCAATATCTTTGGGATAGCCGATTCTGCTCCTGCACTCTTTCTCTGGCGGTGGAGGCAATACAGCTGCACCCTTGGCGCCGCCCAACTTACACTACGTTTCAGATAGATATTGCTCTCCACTGCTCTAGGCCAGCTCTTTGCACTTATGGCGGCAGCAAGCAGTCAACTCTCCTTCATGGAGAGAATAGACATCATATCTGCCCAGCTGGGTCTGAGTAAGCACAAATACTCCGTCATTGATCAGACACCAAGAGCTCATGCGTTGTTTTCCAGTTCGTACTCTCCTATACACTGCATTTACTGGTTTCTTCAGAGATGATCGTTATGCCGCCAGCTACAAGCACCATATCACTCATAGCATAGTCCGGGCGATGCTAGCACGGTTGAATTCAGTCCAGCTAAAGTGTGTAGCAGCTCGTTCATAATCGTTTGACGCTAATCAAGTTTTCAGAACGCTCAAACCTAGCTTTAGATCATGCTATGAGAAGTTCTGCAAGGAGAAAAACCTGAAATCCAATATTGTGACTTTCAAATCAGGACTCGAGGCGTTTTGGATTGGTGATCCAAATGCAAAATATGTCTTTATCTATTTCCATGGTGAGCGACTGTTATTCCTACTTCAGGTGTATATCATGTTTATTGTTGAATAGGCGGCGGATATGCTCTTGATGGAGACGGCCTTCATTTGAGCTTCTGGCACAGTGTGCAGAAAGATCTTGATGCTGCTGGAAAGTCCGTGGCCTGGCTATATGTTGCATACAGTCTTACTCCCCATCGAACGTATCCGACTCAAATTTGCGAAGCTATCGAGGCTCTTAAATATGTCCATGAAGAGAAACACCGTCCGTCTTCAGAGATCATCATCGGCGGTGACTCTGCTGGTGGCGCCCTCACCCTAGCGATCCTATCCCACCTCTCACATCCATCTCCTGACTTTCCTAATGTGGAGATAAGTGGGAAGTTCAAGGCGGCTGTCGTAATGGCACCATGGGTTAGTCTTCGATTCGACTGGCCCAGCTTCAAAAGCAATGAGTTCAAGGACTCAATCACTGCCATAAGATTACAGGAGTGGGCATCTTTGTACCAGAATGGAAAGCCAAGCAACAATTACATTGAGCCAGTCGAAGCGCCCCCGAGTTGGTGGAAGGAAGTTCCAGTAGACCAAATGTTGTGCACCGCTGGAGGAGATGAGATTCTGCTCGACCAGATCTCGGAATGGGTCGCAAAATATAAGGTCAGTGCTGGGTAGCTCCCGTCTTCGAAACCTCTGAAGGCCGCTGAAGAATAACACTTGATAGTCTGTGCATCCAGACATGACGACCTATATGGTTGGCAAGGACGAATGCCACATCGCACCTATAATAGAGCCCATGTTGATGGACACTAGCGAGACGGAACAGGGCAAAGCTATCAAAGCCTGGTTGAAAGCGAGATTGTGATGGAAATAGCTTGGCTTGTTACGCGGCAGAGTTAATTCAACCTATACCACGGACGTTGAGAATATACGGACAAGATACTCATTATTGAGCGCTCTCCGGATCTTCAGAGCCGCCCAAAGGGAGCTTTCAGGCCGCAATATGCAACACTCATTCATCTACACTCTTGCACTCCCACAAAATGTCATGCATTCCCCTAACGAAGATCGCTCGGCCCAGTTGCATGGAACGAACCAACTTAATGGGCTGTCATTCGTTAAGCCTTATAAGATACTCGTGTTGGTGAGCACCTGCTACTATGCTACAAGCGGATAAATAAGAGGTACTCATTCAGTACCTTGCCTTTTCTAGCGATGAGGACCTTCATGCTAGTTTTTCTACAGTTGTTTCTCAAGTCTATTTATATGTCTCTAAGTTCCTACAGTCTTTCCGAACATCATTCCGCTATCAAAACATTTGCTTCATAACATTACTACAAAGTCCTCTTGAACGCCATGTCACAAAGCTCAGTTACATACTCTCGTTCTATCTCATATCAGTGTATTTACATCTTACAACCACACACAGCAGCCTCCACGACATCATATCACATAATTTAATAATCTCCACTCATTTAATTCACTCGATTACATGCAGAATGCCATCTAATGACAGCACCCTCCTCAACCGACTTTTCTCCAAACTCTCTAGCATCTCCTACCTCCCTGACCGCCTCCGCCAAAAGTGCAAGCCATCCCATGCCAACGATCTCCCCATCACCCGCTCCAGCCTAGCCTTCCACCGTGAACGAGGCAGGAAGCTAACGCAAGACGAGGCTGACGTCCTCTACAGCGGAGCTCAACGAGATATTGAGGCTGCTCTTGCTCCTGCTCCTGCCGCTGACACCAGAACAAGTATTAACCGTGAAGATGAGGCCTGGTCACGGCACATTTGGAAGACTGAAAGTACTTCGGGCACAAATCTACGTGCCAGATATGGCAATGAAGATTGGAGGCAGGATTGGGAGCCGATCCAGATGCTGCTTCAACAAGGTGCCCAGAGGAGAGTCGTGGTCACGACAATTGACCGAGAACGACGAGATAGTGAGGCCGGGACCAAGCATGACCCTAGGCATTGCGATTATGATTACTCAGCGGCAATCAGGGCGCTTGAGGCTAGGGAGGAGCCGGAGCCGGAGGAAGGCGAAGGGTGTGGTGCTGAGGCATTCTTGGCCAGAGCGGGAGAAAGATTGGAGGGGGCAAAGAGAGAGATGAGAATGGTGGTCTCGAAGGTGGAATTCGGAGGTCAAGTGAGACGGTTGAGGAAAACCGCTTTGGATGGTCGCGAGGATGAGGAAGAGGAGATAGTGTACTCCGGAGAAGGTTGGAGGGCAAGAGGGGATGGACATGTGGTCTGTGGAGATGCCTGGTGGAAGTATTCATGAGGTCAGTTAGTGGACCTCACGAGGATGAAGTCGCGCATCTAGATACGAACAATATGATCTCCGTGCCCAATTACTACTGTATCTTCTCGAGAGGAGGATCTCCACCTTAATTCGGGCGGCCACCCTGAACCCCTTTCTTGGCAAGCACTCCACCTTCAATTTCTCCAACATTGCTTTGTACTTAAGTGATTAGATAGATATTGCGACAATCTTCCCTTTTTTCCTCCATCCAAAGCCATGGACCCCTTTTCAGGCGAAGGCGGTATGTCAATAATCATGATCCACCAGTTTTCGATCCTCCGAGCCGATGCTGACCACGCTCTCCAGAACTCCTCACCATAACTACCCATTTCCACACCCACGCCTACACCAAAGTCCTCGAGTACGACACCAGCCCCCTCTCCCCACCAAACCGTAGCATCGCACGGATCCTCCAACATCGTTCCCGCATCGCCCTCGGCCAATCCAGGCAGGTTCTCTCCCAACTCTCCTCCGCCAAAGATGCGGCCTCGCAAGCCATCCAGGCGCTTGCGCACCAAAGTCTCGGAAACGACAAGGGTGTAGAGCTGGCGAGGGAGCTGGCGGAGACAGACGGAGAGGACAGTGTGGTACAAGTCGTGTGTGGCACGGTGCTTGCAGCGGCCGGAGAGTATGAGAAGGCAGTCGAATTGCTGGGGAAGCATCAGGGGAATCTGGAAGCGTGCGTTTTCTAACCGACCCACGCAGCATCACATCAGGGGCGAGGGGCACTAACAAAACAATTCGAACACAGCGTCGCACTCCTCACGCAGATCTATCTGCTGCAAAACCGCACCGACCTCGCCCTCAAGGAAGTCCAAGCCGCCAAGCGATGGGCACAGGACAGTCTGCTCATCAACCTGGCCGAAGCCTGGCTCGGACTTCGAGTCGTATGTGCTTCCCCCTCTCTCCCTCTCTCAATTTCCCCATTACCTCCATCTTAACCCCCATCCCACACACGCCCCCCCCTAACACATGCCAGGGCGGCGACAAATACCAATCGAGCTACTACATCTACGAAGAGCTGGCCTCGACCCCGAGCACCACCACCGCCTCCTCCCTCGTCGCCCAGGCCGTCGCAGACATGCATCTGAACCGCCTGCCGGAGGCGGACGCCACGCTGCAGCAGGCGCTCGAGCTCGATCCGCACGATGCGCACGCGCGCGCGAATCAAGTGGTGCTGGCGTGCCTGATGGGCAGGAAGAGGCCGGACGTGGAGGGCTTGGTTGCCGGCTTGAGCGATGTGGATGACGGCCACCCTTTGGTAAGGGGCTTGGGCGAGATGGAGGCAAGGTTCGATGAGGCCGCCGGCCGGTATCAGGCCAGGGTGGCGGCTGGTTGAGTGGGAAGCGTGCTCATACGAGGAAGGCGTGGCAGACAAGAAGGCATGGAGAGGCGCACCGGGAAAATTGAGGCTTTAGACTCGGGGTTTGGAGTTCACGCCTAAATGAGCGGTGGCAAGTGCTTTATGATATCGAGATACTGATTTTTTATCTCTACTGTCTACTGCCAGAGCTCTGCTCGTGCATCTACCTATATACAACCCTTGCATTGTGGTTTCCTGGACGGAACGAGAAAGAGGATGGCCAATCCTTGTGGTTCTGTACAACTTCTTCCCGGAATCGAAGACGTATCATACCGCGGAAGCGCATAGAGCTCTACCGATGCGGCTCGGCTAGGCTCGGCTCAGCATAGCAGCTCTGCCACTATTTCACCAGCATAGCTCATCTCCCTGCCGCAGCTACTGCATATCTCATTTCAAGATATGACAGCCTGCAGCTCAGTTGCAAACTCAATCCTCAAACTTAAAGCTCTTCCCACCACTCGTATCAATTGCGCCACCACGATAGCTACCCCTCTTTTTCTTATTCTTCTCCTTCGTGAACCCCTTTCCCCGTGTCACGGAGAGGTCCTGGTACGCCTTGTCCGCATAGCTGTTGGTCTGATATCTGTTGCTTGGATGTTCGTTCAGCTGTGCTGCTCTGCTCGCTTCTGCGAGAGGGGTGAGTTTCGCGCCGGTGTGTTTCTTCGGTTTGGCTTCTCTTGCGGAGGTCGTGGATCTGAGGAGGAGGAGGAGGAGGAGGAGGAGGAGGAGGAGCTGCTGCTGCTGGAGGTTGCGGATGAGGAGGAAGAAAATGAGGGAGTGGCGTTGGTGGATGGCTTTTTGGAATCGCCATTGATGGTTGCGGAGGAGTCGGAGGCGGCCGTTGGCAGGGCAGGGAGCGTGGCGCCTTTTTGCAGTTTGCTGGTTTCTTCTTTGTCGGATTCTTCGTCTGATGTTTCGCTTTCCGAGGATGATGGTACATTCTTGACAGGGGCAGTCTTGGGCTTCGCATCCTTAGAGTCTTTGCTGGGTTTGGCAGGTATGGAGACAGCAGCCTCACCCTTGGCCTTTGTAGCTTTAGAGGCTGTTGCTGGCTTTGCAGGTGTGGAGATTGCGTTCTCGGTCTTGGTCCTCTTGACCTTGGTTGGCTTCTCATCGTCAGAGGAGTCTGATGCAGACTCCGATGAGCTAGTTTGGGCCTTTCGCTTGAGTTTATTCACCATCGCAGCCACGGTTGGAACGGCTGCCACTGCCTGCTTGGCTTTCTTAAGTAGAGTTTCTGCTTTGGGCTCTGCGTTCTCCTTTTCATCATCTGCATCGCTATCGGAACTCGATGAGGATATGGATGGCGAAGGTGAAGCAGCCTTTTTTGCCTTGGTAGTCTTCTTGACTTTCTTGGGTTGTGGCGCATCGTCCATCTCAACATCAGAGTCAGCTGAGCTGGAGTTGCTGCCTTCGTCACTGGTTGCTTGTCCATCTTGCTGCTTCTGTGGTACAACCTCACTTTCCCCATCGCTGCTGCTCTCGCTGCTGCTCTCACTGCTGCTTGTGTCATCGCCTTGTTTGATCAACCAATCCCGGTGCCAGTCCCTGAATATCTGCTCTAGCTTTGGCGTCTTCTTGTCGATCTTCTTTCCAAGAGCGTCTTCCCAGCCGTTCAATGTTTGTCTTGCTTGTCTCTCATTTGTGAAGAGCCGACTGGTAGAATTAAAGCCAAAGTCCGTAAGGAAGATGCCAATGAGGCTCAATAGAAGCGGATCTGGAGCCAAGCGATCTGGTACGCCATGTACTCTGCGCTGCATGTAGTCGACCGCCTTTTCCCTTTCTTTGATCGCCTTTTCAACCTCTGCGTGTGACTTCTCTTTTGGGTTGAGGACAGGATTCTCTGCGTCGGGAGGAAATAACCAGGCTGGTTGAGGTTTGGATGGACCTTTCTTTTTCTTCTGCTGTTTGGACGGAGGTTTTGGCGGAACTTTCTTCTTGACAGTTGCCTGGTCTGCCATACTGAAGACCGACTGTAGGAAGCAGGTCTAGACAATGATTCGGTGGCTTCTGTCGAGAGTTGAGTAGATAGAGTAGATAGATACTCCGTATAAACATAAAATTTGGAGACTGGCCGGAAAATCCGATTGTGGAGAAGCTCCAACGTTGCGGACGCTAATGCCCAACGCTAGTATATATCTGGACTAGACTGTCCTCTGGTATAGTGCGACTGGGGGTCGAGGGCTTCGTCGTAGAGCGGCGAGCCACTGCCTTTACCGCCCTGGCCAGTGTATACTACCAGTAACATACAGGAGCAACACGTTGGCAGTGTCGGACAGTACGCAGTGGAGCGACAATCCATTATTCCAGCGGACCAGGCCTTTGATGGACTGGGTATAAGAACCGCTCTACCGGGAGCGCTACGATGAACAGCTCTCGTTCTCGAGATCCTTCCAAGGATGTCCTTGACGCCGGTTCACAGCAGAATGGCAGGATGGTCAGTGACTCGCGCAACGGCTACGAAGGCAGTACGAACACCAGTGTGACCACCAGTACCGCCGGCATGACCCGCGCCCAAAAGTTTGAAGACGAGAAGAGGAGGATTATCGAGAGCTGCTTCTCCAAGAAGGACCCAGATGGCTCCCCGAGCGAATCATACATAACACACATTCAGATTACCGAGGATGCTCTATACCCCTCGTCTCCAGCCCCGCCCGATTCAGGTCTCGAGAACAAAAAGTCTCGAGTCATTGTTGTCGCAGTCCGCAAATCTGGCCGCGTCCGGGTTCACAAGGCGCGCGAGAATAGTTCCGGCTCTTTCTCGATTGGAAAGACATGGAATCTTGATGATCTAGGTCCGCTTCAGTCATGGACCGGCGCGGTGCCAAAGACTGCGGACGAACACCAGCAGAAGATGTGGGCTTCGGACGTCGGCTTCACCGTAACACTGGGCAAGCCTTATTATTGGCAGGCTTCCACTTCAGGGGAGCGAGAATTCTTCATTGGCAGCCTCATAAAAATCTACCGGAAATACACTGGGGGGAAAGTACCGGATATGATTGGATTTGATCCGGCAGAACAAGAGCAACTTGCCGGAGTGCCTGTAACCCGGACCAACGCTGAACCGCAAGCTAGATCACCGCCTCCCAGGCCGAATGTTCCTCCTCCGGCGCCTTCATCTGGATCCAATCACCCGAAATCTCCGTTTGCCGCCCGAGTACCCAGCAGGGAAGGAGACCGTTCAGGAAGTCGAAATGGATTGAGACCGCTAGATCGTGATGGCCAGCGAACTCCCAACGGAGAAGAGTTACGCTCCCCTCCTCGCGGAGAATTTCGAACTCCTAGTAGAGAGGGACAGCGAGATCAAGTGCAGGTCCGTCGACAACAGCCACCTGGTCAGGAATCAATACCAGGCGTTCTCAACCAAAGTGGTCTTCCTAAACCCCGGCCCCCTTTTAGTGCCAACTCCTCTCAGTCATCGCTACCATCTGCTCTAGGGCTGCCCAGCAATCCTCGCTCTGGTGTAAACGCACCATCATCAACACCTCAGAACGACGACGCGCTTCGTAGATTGGCAGGGCGGCCTAGTGATAGTTCGTTGATTAACAGAAGCGAAGATGGTACATCTACTTCCTCACGGCCAAGCACTGCTGCATCTGCTGTCAAGCCACTTGACACGAGGCTGGAGAGGAAGTTGACTCCCGACCTGTCACAAGAGATCGTCCCTGAGAGGAGACGGCCACCATATCAGAGGCCAGCTGGCAGTTTTGGGCAGGCATCTGGCCAAAGTGACGTAAGCAGCAAGTTCTCTACGCCAATGGCAACACCCACACATGTAAAGAGTGATTTGCGGTCGTCTTCACGGGGCCGTGACAAAGTGCGAAACGAGCCCAGCACAGACTCACCCAGTATGCCCGGCTACTTCCCATCGCCTACAGAACCAGAATCTGCAGTCCAAGACCCGTCACCCATCACATCACCTAACAGCCTCCCTCCTCGTGATGAAGCCATGATGTTCACTTCACCCACCGAGTCCCCCATTACCAGTCCCACGCCTCAACCCGAAGAGGATTACCGGCCTGGGCTGGGACCGATGATGAGGAAGAAAAAGTCAAGTAAGGAAATTGCAAACCACTTCCGAAAGGCAGCAATGGCCGCAGGTGCCTTCAAACCGCGCGCTGGCGGTGCAGCAGAGCGCTTGTTAGCCCAGAAGGAGAAGGCTTCGAATGAGCCGGATGGCATCACGGGTGTAGTTCCTGCTCCTCTGCTGCGAGGCCCAAGCAACGATAGCAGAGGTGGAAGCCCGGCTATCCTCTCTCCTGCGTCTGATGTTGTGTCGCCTCCAGCTAACAGGCCGATGCCTACCATTCAGCTACAGAGAACCCCAACAGAAGAGCAGCCCCAAGCCAAAAACGCAGAAAACAAAATGCCCCGACCTCCATCTCCAGACAAACCTCGATCAAGGTCGCCAGGGAGGCGACGTCGCCAACTACAAGAGGCTAGAATTGCTAAATACTGCAATGCACTTGGCATTGACTCCAAGGTCATTGAAGGTCGTGGAGGGGACTTTGATGACCTACTTACCGAGATTGGCTGGGATGGGAAGCTCCCAGAAGACAAGAAAATCGAGGATTTCGAAGCCGATGTTCGTCGAGAAATTGGTCGAGCACAAGCCAGCGGTTGGCTTGGCCACATTGAGCAACAAGAAGGGAAACTAGAGCAGCTGGGCAAACTGTTTGACAGAACCATCGAAGAATGCGATGAGTTGGACGGACTCCTCACATTGTATTCGCATGAGCTCAACACCCTTGCAGAGGATGTGGCATATATCGAGGCGCAGTCTCAAGGTTTGCAAGTTCAGACTGCCAACCAGAAACTGTTGCAGGTCGAACTGCAGAACTTATTGAAGACCATCTCGATATCTTCAGCGGATCTTCGGGATCTGCGTGAAGCTTCACTTGGTACTCCTGAGGGGGTTGAGGCCGCCGAACAATCATTGACGGTTCTGTACAAAGCGATGATTACCATTGACCCGGACATCAGGCAGAATAAAAAGCGAAAAGCAGATGCAGCAGCTGGGAACAGGAGCGATGTTGGTGTCTACGCTGATACTGAAATTGGCCAGATGCGAGCTGTTCGGGAGAAGAAAGAAGACTATCGAGAAGAGACATCGATGTTTCTGAAGCGGCTCTCCCAGTACATGTCGATGGCATTCAAGACAGTAGAAGCACGAACCAGCGAGAGTGTGGAGAGAGCTCGAGCAAACGCGATCATCTCCGCCACCAGCCTAGACTCCAAGCTCCATGACACATCCAGGCAAGAGTTGTGGATGTATAATGCTCTCATGTTGTTTGTTCGCGAGGTGAATTCCTATGAATGGCAGACCTTGATATCGACCTATGAGACTTACACCAAACCGATATATCAAGAGCAATTTCGAGACCATGTCCTTGCATGGAAGAAAGTCACACGGAAGTCGAGCGGGGATGAGCAGGACTACCTGTTCACGAGCCAAGAGAAAGAAAAGCTGGATGATGGCATCACCACCGCTGCACGGAAGTTGACTGTCAAACGGGGTAAGACAGTGCGAGTCGCAGGCTCTCTGGGGAAATCGGCAAGCGACAAACGGGATGGGAAAGTTGATGCCTATGAAGCTGTTGCAGGAGTACTCGAGGGCCAGCTCAGACTGATCTCCGAGGAACAGAACTTTAGTGTTTCGTTCTTCCATCTTACCTCTTTGTCGAACGTGGATTTCGCCGAGATTGTCGCTGGAAGACCGCCAGCACAGCGTCGACTACCCAATCTCTCTGCCAGACAAACCTATGATCCAGATCGGGATATGGCTAAGATGGTGGAGAGGATGATGGACAGCATCTATGCCTTCTGGCCCACTGACATGCAAAACCTAGTCGAGTGGGCTCTACGCAGCGATCAGTTGTAAGTCCTGTTTGTTTCCCACAACACGACACCCATAGACTAATCTTTCCCCAGACAAGGCATAGGCATTCTCTACTCCCTCGAACGTTCCCTCCTCACCTTCGAAGACACAAACCAAGAATACCTAACCCGCACCCTCCGCACCCTTCACAACCGCCTCCTCGGCCTCTTCCACCGCTTCATCGACGACCAAGTCCGCGGCATCGAAGACACCAAGGTCAAACTCAAGAAACGCAAAGGAGTCATCTCTTTCATGCGCACCTTCCCCAATTTCTCCGCAGCAGTAGAAAGCATGCTCCCGCACACCATCAACACCACCACAGGCACCGCAGGAATGGGAAACGGAAATGAACCGCTCGAAATCCGCCTGATCGTCAACGAAGCCTACAGCAAACTCAACAAAGCAATGTGGGAATGCCTCAACTTCATCGCCAAGGACGAACCGTCGGTAAGCTCGACATCAGCCAGCCACGCCGCCGGGCACGGAGGTGGCATCCACGTCGGCAGCATCTCCGCCGCGCACGCCATCGCGGGCAACAACAACGACCCGGAAGACAAGGAGGCGCTGAACTACCACATCCTGCTCATCGAGAACATGAACCACTACCCCTCGAAGAAATCGACGCGCGCTCCAACCCGATCCTGAAGGAGTGGCGTGCGCGCGCATCCGACGATCTGGCCACCCACCTCGCCGCCTACACCGACGCCGTGATCCGTCGCCGCGATGCTGAAATCCCAGCCTTCTTCTTCTACTTCTTCTTCTGCCTCTGCCGACAACAGCTCCGGCTCGACGGGCGCAACAGCGAGCGCGAGCGCGATCGCGCTCCGCCCCTCACACTCGCGCTCCGCCGCCAAGAAGATCCTGGCTTCCTACGACAGCAAGGAGGTGCGCAAGGGCGTCGAGACGCTGAAGAAGCGCATCGAGAAACACTTCGGCGACGCGGATGATGCCGCGCTGGCGAGGGGGCTGGTCGCCAAGGTGTTCAGGGAGTGTGAGAACAGGTATGCGGATGGGTGGGAGAGGATGCGAGCGGTGCTCGACAGGGTCTATGCTGCAGAGGCTGGGTCGGGTGGTGCTGGGGGAATTCTGGACATCGAGTGGAGGAAGGACGAGGTGGCTGGTCTGTTCAGGCGCTGAATTTTTGGGGGCCAGACCCGTTGTTAGGTCACTCCGGCTGCTGGCGGGTTGAGGTGGCGTGGTATGGTGAGGTTTGGGAACGGGAAAACTAGCCGGCGTAGGAGGAGACCGGGGGGTTTATATGGGTCCATTTTTTGGTGGGCGCCAGGTCAAGACCAAGATCTTGATTGCGTGCGATCAGTGCTGCGGCCACCAATCCCACCGGGCATGTTTCTGTCTGGCTGGCATCTATGTATATATGTATACTCGAGAGCCGTGGGTTGCAGCGACTCGCCTTTTTTGATCCCCACACGCTTCCTAGTTAGCTCTGGAGATCCGGTCGGGTCGGTTCATCTGATATTGGGCATGGGGAATGTAAAGCGGAGCGCTTTCGTTTGATGTTACCAATTGTCCACCCTTCGAGGACGGATTTTGCACATATAGGAACGAACACAATGCATGTTTTGGGTGAACAAAGCAGTCAAAGAAAAGAAGGGATACATACATGCGTGCATTTTCTGTTTCTGTACTTTTTGGCACTGTAGTTATGCATCACGCGCCTTTGGGGCTGTGTCAGAAGACCTTCCGTATTGTCCTTGGAATCGGAGACCAGGAATGCGAGGTCTATCAGGTGGTGCGGGTATGTGAAATTCCTGTTCACAACGAACAGCTCAGAGAGCTGTGTATAGAGCTGTGTATGTTTGGTGGGAGAATGACGTCGTCGCTCGGTCGGCCGGTTGAGGGAGGAGGAAGGGAAGGAGGGGACGGGAGTAAGTAAGAATATAACTAGACCAAGCATGCTCTTAATGGATCCAAAGGGGATGAAAGAGTGTTCACAACGAACAGCTCAGAGAGCTGTGTATAGAGCTGTGTATGTTTGGTGGGAGAATGACGTCGTCGCTCGGTCGGCCGGTTGAGGGAGGAGGAAGGGAAGGAGGGGACGGGAGTAAGTAAGAATATAACTGGACCAAGCATGCTCTTGATGGATCCAAAGGGGATGAAGGTATGCCATATTCGGTACCCTCTTCGTGGAGACCTGTCAATCGAAATACCATCTCTTCATATGCTCACCCTTCTCACGCGATTGATCTCCTCCCGTGTTGCCTGCGTATACTCCCAACAGCCATGTCATCAGATTCATCTTGTGGGTGGGCTAAGTCGTTTTCTCCGGACTGGAGGCATGGATGGATACATGATATTTCCTGTGAGGTGTTTGCCAAATCCGGGAATAGGCCACCTCGATAAGTCCTTGTCGCTCTTCAATTATCGAAACTTACGGGACGCTTTAAGTCTTCTCTGTGGCTGTGCATAATTTTCAATAGTAGTGAGGTCTTTTGGGGGGGAGGGTACAAAGCTTCTTTGGCAGGCTCGAATTATATAGATCAGATCTATAACTTTGCCCTTTTCTGTCTTTCTTCACGAAGATCCATCTGGAGGATATTTTCCAATTCCTTGACCGCCACATCGGTCTTCCCCAGCATCACCCTGATCGTGCGCATTCCGAGCGCCCTGGCCGCCTTCAAGTTCTCTCCAATATCATCTAGGAAAAGCACTTCCTCGGCTTTCAGATCTGGTCCCACCTTCTCCCGGAGCTTCTCCATCGTGTACTGGTATATCCTTGGATCAGGTTTCCGCATGCCGACATGCGCACTGGATACAAAAACATCAAAGATTCTTCTCACATCTCCCTCCGCAACATCAGCAAGCGGACTGCCGGGCGGGAAAATAACAGTGTTTGACAGAGCGGCAAGTGTGAACCTTCCAGAAGCTTTGAGCTTTTGCAGCGCCGGGAACATGTGGGGATCGGGATGCCTTGACTCGAACATCATGGCCCAGAAGAGCTTCTCCGCATCGATATCCGGCACTGGAGGGCGCTCAGTCATAGCCGCCAATGGTTCCGTACTGGCACTTGCTGCTGATTTCGTCTGAGTCGCCAGCTTGTGGTGATAGTCCCGCCATCTGTCCTCGTCCTCCAGATCTGCCTTGAAACGGCGGAAGTAGTCTGCATCGAGCGGGATCTCGCCTCGTTCGAGCTGGTGCCATGTCCCATTCGGTGAGGTCTTGGAGATGCTGTAATTGATGTACCCTACGGGGATATTGTGGGCTTTTTCATAATCAAGTATGCCCTGGAACGGCGAAACGACCTGCATAAGTCAAATTACACATAAGAAGCGTGCACTAAGTTAGGTATAAAGGGCAAAGAAGTGTAATCGATCGATGCATTTTGGGTAAAAGTATGAGAGCGGTACTGCCGCAGGAGAAGAGAGATAACCACTTACACAGACTCCACCAATATCAAATAAAAGTACTCGGGGCAGACCTGGCTGTGACATCAATCAAAATAGGAGCAAGCAGCCCGGGCTCTGTCTATCAGTGCAAGTCTCTACTTCAGCGCATCACTGATCATCAAGGATAACGGAGGCGTTGGTATCCAGTTGGTATCCAGTTGGTATCCAGTTGCACTCCTTGAACCAGGGGAAAGAGATCACGTCCGTCTTTTTGCTGCAGGTAGTTATGTACTAGTAGTAGGGTGAGTGTTTCCTGACAATTGACATTATTCCACGTAGTATGTAAGCCAACACCACACAGAGCCGAGGTCCTCCGGTCCTCCGGTCCTCCGGTCCTTCGGTCCAATTCTATTTACAGCCAACCCTGATGCCAAGCTTTGACACGGGTGCTGCGACGCGCGCTTTTACTAGTACCTGGATGAGGAGAGGGAGAGGAAGGGCATCAGAAAACCAACCACGATCTAGTACTTAGCAGGAGAAGGGGTAGCTAAAGAGACATACGCTAAGTGCTGTTAGTAGAAATGACAGTCATTCCGTCAAATGACCAGTAGACGAATACGATAAAAGAAGCATATTTTGACCATACTACAACTATATTTTCAGTAAAATACGTTGTAGATAGTAAGATTTTATTAGATTATAGACGACTAAGCTACATATCCCTGTCCTCTCTAAGTAATGTTACGGTTAGGCTTAATCTAAGCGCACTTTAATGGCTCCCCTAGCATTATTTTTAGAGGGCCTCTTCCTGCTAAGTAGTAGACCGCAATCAACCCGTTCACATGGTGACCCCAAGACCGAATCCTGCCGAATACGCACGACGCACGCACATTTACAAGCCACCCCTACCTCAGCAGAGCATCGTCTAGCTCACCAGCAAAATGGAAGCTTCACCCCTCCCCACCTCCTCCAGCGCTCAAACCATCCCCTCCCTCAAAACCTCCTTCCTGCGCTCCCAAATCCGCCTCCTCTCCACCCCGCTCCAACCCTCCACCACCTGGCGCGACGACCCTTCCCCCACCACCAGCACACCACCCACTCCGCTCCTCGACCGAACCATCCGCAGCGTCCTCGCGA